TTACTAGTAAGGCCAGGAGCCCCTAGTAGCGTCCTTGCTCCTAGTAGGGATGCCCTTTGTTACTAGTGAACATTTTGTGTTTTCGGGCCTTTCGGGGTGAGAATTCCTGGGTGAGACTCGTCCTAGGTACCATGCGTCACCTTCGTCGCTGAGATTTCACAGTCCGGGGCACACGTCAGTGATGCGTACACCAGGGCCAAAGAGCTCGCGGGTGGCCTCCAGTGCCATCTCCACGAAGACCACGCCGGGCACCACAATCGAGCCGAAAACCACCTGGCCACGAAGACAAGAACTGAAGCCCACTCATTGGACCATTGGGGTTGGAGCGGGCCATGGCAGAGGCAAAAAGATGAGTTTTGGGAGCAAAAGGTGACTCGGAGTGATTTGGGAAGTCCTTGACTGCTGTGATGCTCTAGATATTGATAGTGCACACGTGCTACACTGGTAACGACAAGAGGGCGTTCAAGTGTTTTGGGGGTTCCAGGAGTTTACATCCGCTTGCTTTGTAGATGTGGTTACGCTTCGTCTTTAATATTGCAGTGTCTCATTTGAAGACTTAACAAACAACCAGAGTTTGTTGCCATCTTTGCCATATGTTCTCTTGGCGACGACGCTGAGTACTTCTCCCCACAATCGAGACATAGCGTGGATGGCTGTCTCAGCGCAGGAATCATCAGCCAAAATGGGGGCCGAACTTTCCCTTGACTGCAGTTTCTGGGATCACTGCATTCTTAGGTCAAACTGCAAGTGCAAATCATACCATTGACAAATTGATGGATGCAAGCCAAGCACTGCAACATTCCATGGGTTGGTGTGCAATGATGGCACCGCCTGGGCTGTCTGGGAATTTTTGAAATTTCTCCTAGCGATACGCCATGTGATACCCCCAAGCAAAATTATCCAAGGCCACGTGGTGCTTCACCACGTCGTAGACGTCCATGCGCATGGCCACCTCGAAGATACCTTCACCTCGGTGGAGAAATTCAGCGAATGCCAGGGGAGTGCCAAACATGTGGATGCTTACTGGATGGCCCAAGATCTCTGTATATCTCTATCAAATGGATTTCAAATGGCCCAAAATGGCTCAGAACAAGATTGATGGCCTACTGGAAAATACTGGAACCAATGCTAGTTGGGCATATGCTTTGTTTGACTGGGGACGTCTCTGGAGGAGAGGAACCTGAGGGAAGTTTTAAAGTCTAGTTTCCGTTTCCGTGAGCGACCAGTAGGGTAAATAGCATAAGTAGGGTGGTTTCACTACTTGCAGATTCGATTCTTGATGAGCCTTGAAATCTTGGCGTTGATGTTGTTTCATCTTCCTTCTATCCTTCACTGTGCCCGCCCACAGCTCCTCCGCGGCTCAAATCCTACAACTCAAAGCGACTTGGCTTGGCGCGGAGGAAGCGGAAGCCCACCTATGGTCAAGGTCAAGTCGGCCCCCAAAATCTGACCCAAGTGGCCTTGGCGTCAATATTTAACTAAACCCATAAGACTTCAGCGTTTTGATCGGAAACATTGGGTGCCCTGCAAGGGCCACAAAATCCACTCCTGTCCAGCGCATGAAGATAATGATTGTTGTTTATTCGTCCCTGTCTGCACAAACCGACCGCCGCCTCTCGCCATGGGAAGTTTTTCTTCTCGAAAACTGCTGCCGCCAACCGTGTGGGACGCGCATCCACACGGGCATGCACTGGGAGATCTGCCAGCTGTTGACGGAAAGCTTGGGCTGCCTGGGACTGTCACTTCCAGGGACAAATTTGGACTCAAGCTACTTGGTAGCACTTCCAATTTATCTTTAAAAACAACTAGCAACAGGAGATTAATATCAGGCAAATGTGGAAGCACTGCGATAGAATTCAGTTACTTCTCCAACATCTCAAAGTAATTCTACCAAGTCTGATCCAACATGACTTGGTGAGAGTATCCAACAATTTTATCAAAAAGGACTTTTGCCCATAATTTCCAACAAATCTCGGAGCGCAGATCGTGCCTCAGTGCAGCAGGAGACCACCCCGTGGGCGTTGGTGCCGCCGAAGCCAAAGGATGACAAGCCACCACCCAGTCGGCTGAGCACCTTTCAAGGAACATTTGCCGTGAGTCGGCGGGTAGCAAAGGATGTAAAAATGTCGGTGAGAGTAAGCCAGGTGTAAAGGGACTTTGCGGGGTGTAAGACCCTGTTGCATTCCTGGGTCCTACCTTTTGTTCTATTCAGCGTCATTAAAGTTCCTAACATGACACAACGGTTGAAGTTATGACTCAGTTATGACTCAAAAATAGGGTTCCATCCAAACCAGGGTCTGAAATGGCAAGTGGATAGCCACCAGGAATTTTAATATGCACCATAAACATCCAAAAGTCTCTGTATTCTTCCCGATCCAATTTGGACCAGCATCCACTTGTTGGTCAGAAACTCCACCTCAACACCCCTCAACACCAGTGCCACCTGTGACTCCCCGAAACAGTCTCCATCCGCACCTTGCTGGCCATGGGCAGCGATTCCGTGGCGAAGAGCGCCGGCAGGTCGGACAACGCGGCAATGCTGGGGTTCAGCGTGCAAAGATGGATGGACGACATGGAGGACAAGTGCCTGACAGGACGAAGATGTGGGGGAGGTTGAAGGCCATCGCATCACTATTGGGTGTCTTTTTTCTTTTCTTTATTTGTTTTTGTCTAGCCCTGTGAGTGGGAAGATGTGGGAAGTGGAGACCATGGCTACGAGCATTAGGTTGGAGGCCATCGCTAGAATGAACTGGAACAGATGGAGCACAGCATGTGAATACAAGGGTGAGAGCTGGCAGTATTGGTGTCCAACAAAGTGCCTAACAGGTGGACAGGTGTGAGGTCTGGAGATGGTGGCGCACACTGTGCAAATAGTTTTGTGCGTTGGGTGAGAATACTCGTTGATTCCCCTCAAGATTCTAGATGTTCTCTTCAGGGGGTGGTCACTTCTCGCAGTATCCTATTTTTCCTATCCTTCTATCATCGTCAATCTAGGACGTCCGATGGTTCTCAGGCTATGGAATGGTATTGAGGCCAATGGCTCTACTGCAAGAAGATGTCCTCACATAGAAATCCCGTCCCTGGGTAAGGTTACTCTATCATTTACGAATCGTATGGGGAGTGATAATGACAGGGGCTATTGCTGCAAGCAAGTTGCTCCATCAAAGCCACCGACTTGATCAGTCCTGCTGGCTCTGTGACAGAACGTGATCAGATTGGCTTGGAACGAGTGACTTCCTCGGGCCTTCCAAACCAGAAGCAAAACGCTGATCTAAAGTGATCAAATGCCGCCCCTTCAAAAACAATGGTGTTTGGATGGGTTCGGTTTGGGATTGCAACCATGAATAAATCATGTTGGCTCTCGCTTTGTTCTTGGACTCCCGCAACATGATCCTCACTAGGGGCCCACAAACACCGTACAAAATCATTCAAGCAGTTTGCGTTGGATCCAGTTCGATTTACAGTCAAGTTTTCCAGAACCATCTGGATACCCGGATGTCTTTACTTTCTCATCTGAATGAATTAGTACAGGATCAGTATATGAGATGTCTCCGCTATCTCCAATAATGTTCGAAAGATTCCGAAAGACTGTTCTTGCTGCTTTTGGTTTTCTTTTGTGGCTAACTGATGGTGACGTTACAAGCTGGTACTCCACCCTGCTTCGAAACCAGGCAGCTTCGTCTGGTCCGGTTGTTGACACCGGTCCTGTCGAAGCGGCTGGACCCTCCAAGTGCCCACAGTTTGACTTCACCGCTGCCAAGATCAAGGGCCGGTCCTCCGTCCTGCGCAGTGGGGCTCGGTGGTACGAGCCGCTCCGTCAAAACCGGCTGGGTCCAATATGTCGGCGGATGTCTTTTTGTCCATGGCTGAGATCTGAGGTCAGTCTGAGTTGGTGATACGGATTGGAATAGGTCGGCTCGGTTCTGGGATTGAACACACACACACACACCATGAAAAAACAAGATTGCACATTGCCCTCGCCTACAATCCACAGTAAAACGGAAAGAAGGGATCCCAACAATTGCCATGAACAATGTTTACATTTGAGTGACTATATATTCTAGATGCACAACTACAATACGCACAAAACAAACAGAACCAGGACAGATTTCAGTTTGTCATCTCCAACCCAAGAGATCCGCAGATTGAACTTACTCTCTGAAAATATGAGCAAATGGCCGTTGCTGGGACATGGATACTTACTTTATGATCATTTTTGGGTGAATTCACTCAAGGGACCCCCTGAATGTGATCAAGCAAGGAAGGCAGTCTGCTTGGCCTGTTGGTCACACTTTTTGAACGAGATGAAGGGTCACATGACTTGAACTAGTAGCAAGGGCATTACTACTAGTAGCAAGACGCTACTAGTAACAAGGTGCATCGCTACTAGTAGCTATTGAACCTAGGAATTGACGAAGTCCCCGAACTCCGAATTCCGCTGTGACCACACACCGACCCGCTCATGTCCACATCTGAAAATCTCCTGGAAGCGTTGATAGATTTCAAGCCGCCAATTTCAATAGGATCGCCCAAAGGAGTGCCTGTGCCATGGCACTCCATGTGCACCTCGCTGGCTCGATCTGCACTTCTAGATCGACTCTACTCCCCTCAAAAGTACACAACACGATGGAAACGATGGACATTCGATTTGGAAAGCCCATTGGATTTGGACGACTGGCTTGACCTGCCCGAACCAGACCAATTCTCCAACTGGCTGACACCAATTTGAACATGGCAAGTACTACGACTCTACACGATGTGGAAAAAGCTTCCAGTCAAGTCCGCCCCACACTCAGGGGCTACACATGGCCGCATGGCTACGCCAAGTGGCCACCTCTTCAGGCGCCAACTTGGCTTCCGCCAAGGCCACCCGCATGACCGTGGCCTGTGACGGGCCATTGGGCGCCGTCAGCGTCGAGCTGCGGCCGTCCTGTCGATGGACAGTCCACCAACTGATGGCGCTCATCAGCCACTAGGCTCCAGTAACTACAGTATACAACTTCACATAGACATTGCCACTGGTAAGCTGGGAGAAGAGTTGCTTTTTGGAAGTAGTCCCAAGAGGTTTGCATCCAAACCCAACAGTTTAGTTTCAATAGCGATCCCAAAATGTTCAAAAGGCCTGAGATAAACACTCAGCATCCAAATCGTGCAACCGAGAAGGCGTGTCATCTATATATATACTTAAATCTAATGGTGTCCGACCACCCCAATATTATTCCAAGGTTCGTTCGGGTTGCATCACTCCGGGTTGCAGCTGTCGAAAACTCTACACTCATGTACCCTGCCTCGCGAATGAGTATGGTCGATGTCTCTTGGACTCTAATCCAATGGTCTTGAGTCTTGAGTGTTCCGTTTCTTTACAAGCTGTAAGATATAGGTTTTTGTTCAGAGTTCGCCAAACAACACGTTCCAACGTCTTCAAAGGGTCAAAAGCTCACAAAGTTTGGTGATTGGAGGATGAGAGCTCGTAGACACCAGAACCATCTGCCTGAATTCAGACGACCGAATCAAACAATACGTTGGTTGGGAAAATATACGAATTCACCTAGAGACCACGGCAAACCATCTCACAAGGCAAACACCACCCAGATCATCTAAAAGACACTCAAACTGGGAGGTCCAAGGAAACTCGTCAAAGGACTCTGCCTGTCCTGGTTCACAGCAACTCCGAAGAGTCCACATCGCTCCAAGGTGGCCAAGGGGGCCGCTGCCGTCTGCGCTGCCTGGTGCCGATGTTCCCTTCCAACTGGGGCGATCAACCCAAGCATTTTCGGCATGGAGGAATCAACCCAAACTCTTATGTGCCGGGTGTTTTTCTGTGGCTTAAAGGCCCGCTTGAGCTCTTCAAACCACTTTGCTGTCTAATTAGCATCTGCTTTTCTCTGTCCGCACGCAGTCCATGGGACTCAGAGAGTTGTATTGACCTCAAAGAGTTCAGCCAAATTCAATAAACATGAGAATCCCTAGAACTCAATTAAACCGCATGGGTTGGTTGGAGGGTCTCAGTCTCCTATTGCAATTGAGACCTATCGTCAAAGTGTGTCAAAGTGTTCCTGCGCATGGCTTGCCTGCTGCGCTTCGCTCGGCAGCTGCAACACCACTGCGCCGCAGCCTTCGCCGCGCGCATAGCCATCTGCGGATGCGTCGAAGGTGAAGCAGCGCCCGGTGGCGGAGAGCATTCGAGGCTTGCTGAAGCTGATGTACCTGGCTCAAAAAGGTTGGCTGGATGTGGCTGGATGTGGCTGGTTGATTTTGCTAGTCCTAGTGGATTCTGCTGGTTGGTTCGTTGGTTGGTTGGTCGGTCGGTCGGCAGGTTGTCCGTGTGCTGGGAAGCAGATTGCTGGGTTCAGGTTGATCTCCAGTCCAGGTCTAACTAGATTGCCCCTACAACACAGTAGCACATCCCGCCCCATGAGAGCCCAACAACCCGGATCTTGAGATATCTAGTCCTACGATTCAAGGAATCCTCACACAAAGAGAGAGAGAGAGGGACCCATGGTCACTTGCAAGCAAATTTGTTGGAAGAAGAACCAGGAGCAAGGTGGAGATGCACGCTTTAGTTTAGTTTTGGGCTTTTCATACCCATATGGAAAACATCCCCCCTCCAGTGCATGGGGCACGTGGTCGGGCTCGCCATGACGTTGGCCGCAGTGTTCAATGCGCTGCTGCAACGGCCTTTGCGCAGTGCAGTGGCCGAGCAGTCCAGCGCCACCAAAGCCTCTGTTGACTGTTGACACAGGCAGGAACGGTCTCAGCCTGGTCAAATGGTTCTCAGAAATAATCAATTAAATGCGACAAGGAGTACTGCGTGTTGAACATTTGGTGCAAAGAACATGGTCTTTCATGGTCTTCGAACATGGAACCCTTCAACATCGCTTTAGCCCGTCCGCAGACCACCCTCCCAGAGTAACATGAAACTCAGTCACACCCAAGGCGCAAAGGGATGGTGATGAAACATTGGTGCGTGTATTAGTGTGTATATATTATACATATACACGTACATATATATATATTACATCGTATTACATGTTTACTGATATACTCTCATTTTTGTGAGATTTTCACAATGAATACATCCACAACCTTATAGCACATATACAGTAGGAACGATATCATCGTTTCCATTTCAAGTATATACTATATATAGTTTGCACTCAAGTGGCTGCCCCAAATAAACCAACCTCCCTTCGAGGTTCATCACAATTGGGAACCAGGAACATACATCGTTCTGTCTCACCCGGGCCCCTAGTGAGCGTTTCACCCCAAGCCCATCATGAAACGCCTCCATGCGACAGGCAGACTGTCTGCCGGAGATGACCCAACCGGGAGCCGGGAAGTGGAAAGAATCGTGCTCCATGACGCACGCAAGAAGAAAGTGTCAGTTGGGTGTTGTCTGATGCCCCTCTCTTCTTGGTAGTGTTCATTCACAAGAGGCCGCGATTCCTCTGAACCAACCAATCTCGCTTCATCGGCAAAAGATCGCTCCAGTAGAACAAATGCTTTACTTATCAACTGAAGCCGGTCAACAAGGAGCTTCTGACACCCAAAATTTGGTCCCAAATCACTTGAGTCTTCTGCAAAGGTAGTCCACTGGTTCAGTGACCCTGAGTGAAGGTCTGGATTGCTCAACAGCCCAACATGATCCAAAAAGGACTTCCATGATCCTATAGAAGAACCTACGGTTGATGGACAGTCCATGTCCATGTCCATCACTTCTTCGACGTGGGCAGTACCACGTCTTTTGGCCCGCCGAGCTTCAGATGAGCAAGCAGTGTCCACGATGTAAGAGGGGCCCTTCAGGCCCAAGGCATAGGAGATACGTCCAGCAGACACTGAGAAGGACATGCCTGGCACAAAAACATGTGAAAGAATAACTCCGCCATTGGCCATTGTATCACTCAATGAAGGAATCAGGTTCAAGAGTGCCTGAACATAGACAACAAAGCCAAGAACTTGTCATAGACATAGATCATCTTCCAAAGTCTCACCACAAATGAGTGTTCATCCAACGATACATTCAGCAATAAGAACGCCTGGATCAAAATATCTTTGCTGCAGCTGCTCATCTTTACAACGAAGCCGGGTCAATGTAAACATGATATATATATATATGTTTATATTTTATATATATGTGTTGTTTTAAATAAAGTAATACAAACCAAATACATAAACCTGTTCGAGGGCTCCCAAAATACCTTCTGAGAAGGTGTTTGGAGTGGGTCCTCTGTGAGGAGGTGGTTGAAGTCTTATTCAGTCTTTGGTCAACAACAGGGTTTATCCTACTGATACTACTGCCAACCGGAATCACCTTCGCCTGTGCAAGCGCAAATGGTATCACCTCACCTGTGGCGGTGTAGGGGCTGATCTTCTTGAAGTCCCAAGATTGCATCTGGATCCAATCATTGTTGGCCAAGCCCACATGCACTGACACCTGGCGGACAGCCCGCGTCTTTCCGGCGGGAAGGGTTAGGGAAGCTTGTGATCACGCCACGAACAGCCGTGAGTTGGATGGGCTTGTGTAAGTTAGATGGGTTGCAGTTTGTTTCTTCTTTACAGCCTGTACCCAAATAGGCCGCTTGAAATATGGGTGATTCGGATCCAGCATTGGAAAGCCCTCAAGGAGCGTGCGTCTGCCGCTTGCAAACTGCTTCGCGATGTATGGTCAACTCCCTTATTGGCTGGCCAGCACGAAGGCAATGATGCCGAAAACGGTTGAATGTGATTTAGAAACTTCTTCAAAGCTAATGATGGTTATACAAAACACAAAAGCATGGTTCTCTGTCTCCAAAATCCACTTCATTCACTTCTATGCTCCACGATGCCCTGAAGCACAAGCACGGCCAGCCTGTCAAGCGCCAAAACGCAAAACAGTAGCCTAATATAGCCCAAAGTACCGGGTTAGCTCTCGCGAGTGTGAGCCACCTTGGTGTGGCCCCTTCAATATGTCCAAGCTCACCAAGATCAAATGCACAAGCCTGTTTCCGACCAAGAGCACCCTCTTTCTGCTCCTAGGGTTATTCCTTTCCGACCTTCAACAAACATTCCACAAACCAATCGTGAATCCGTTGCGCCTCTTTTCCCATAAGGGATGCCTTGTCGAAGCCAGAGTCCAGCAAACCTCAACTACTTTACATCCGGAGACCGAGAGTAACTATATAAACTGTTAAACTTCTCCAAGAAACAACATGGACATGTGACACCCATCTAATAGTCATAGTCAGCCAAAAAAAACACACTTCCACCACAATCTATTGACATGGGTTGTGGAGCTCTGACTCGACTTTCCGTTGGCCACGTGCACCCTCCACTCACCCACCGTGGATCCCTCTAAGGCAAGCACTGTTCACGGAACTCTCCAGCAAGAGCCGCTGCTGCGGATCCATCGCTCTGGCCTGTGCTCAGCATGCGGAGCGCACGCTTGCTGGCAGGGTCAGTGACCGCAAGCGAATCCGTGCTGACACCAAGTAATTACAGCATTATGGGTTCATATAGTTATGATCTAGCTTCCAAACAAACAATGACACACGACGATGACTCATGCTCCAGTCGATGCCCACGCTTTTATCCCATCCTCCCATCCTCAACTTGGCCAACGCTATCCGCACCTCAGGCGGCGAAATGCCGAAGAACTTGGCATCGAAGGCTTCCACACCCTCGATGAAGGCGCCGTGGCGTGGATACCTTGCAATTGGCAGGCTTTCGCCTGGAAGGCTTGAAGACCAAACCAAGAGATTGGAGGAAATGGCTGTGGGTCACGGCAACCCAACACAACTGTTTGATTTCCAAAATGAATCGAACGGGCTACAGGTGTTGTCAACCCATCCCATGTCACTTGAAATCCTCAAGTCTCGAACTTACTGCCTGGGTGGCCATTTCCAACATTCATTGCACTTTGTTCTAATATACTTAGAAAAAAGGTGCCCAGCAACAGCTTGTGAGGCCTTGGAAGGTACTTGTCCAATAGACAAATGTAAAAAAAGCTCTTACGAGATGTCATCCCTCAAACTGAACACACCATCTTTGATAGGCCCGCAACTGCCTAACCTCTTGGTGTGAAAGTTCTTCTGTACCACCGTAAATATGCAAACCCTTGGAAATGAGATCTGATCGGTACAGGATTTGATCGATCCACGATATCCTCAAGCCATCCAAATCAAACACCTTCAGCACCCACCGCTTCGCATGGCTTGAACAATGCGACGAATTGAAGACTGAAGACCTTGTTTGGCCGAGCAGCATCTTGCCCTGAGCGTCAGGGTTCGGGTCCCAAACCTCCTCCAACTCCCAGCGTGTGAAAGGCACCTCCACCAAGCCATCTACGCCCTGGCGAGACTGGCAAGTCCACTCCATGTTGGACTAGTCAAAGAAATTGAAAAATCGTCAGAAGTCATAACCATTTCTGGACATTCAAAGTTTTAAGCACTAAGCTCTTGGATCTTTTACAGTTCCCTTGCCGTGGTCGTTCCCTCTTTGATAGAGTCCGTCTGAGAACCAAGATATCAGAATTATTCAAACTATATTCTTAATATATTCATTAAGTCAATCGATAGGAGCAATCATTCCTTTCACAAGAGAGCAGCCTCACAATGATTGAACAGAGTAGTATCTTCCACACCTAAATCTCTGATTGTTGCTTGGTGTGTCAAAATAAGCGCTCAGGTACGGTCCTGGGTGATCGCGCACCCAAAGGCTGGTGTGGTCCAGGCGGCTGCAGGGAAGTTGGAAGCCTCGATCGTAGGAGCGGGAAACGGTCGGGACACTGGGAGACCAGCTGGGGACTTCATCAATACTTCCAGCAATACCAGTGCTGGCCCGTGAGGGCTCAAACAGCGCCTGATGTTCGTGTTTGGGTTAGGTTTATTCATGGTTAGTTTAGGGGCGACTTGTAAATACAGCCAGCGACCCTAGTGAGGTAAAGAAAGTTCTCTTTCAGGCCCCCTGAAGACAATTCTCAGTTGATCGCCTCAATGACATCAACACCACCAACACAGGATGATGCCCGCAACACCACCTGACTCCGACCCTCCCCTCTTCTTTCAACGCCCATCACCTAAAGAAAAGTGGCTCCGCCAACCTCACCCGAACCTACTTACAGGGATTTCCCGCAGGTGTGTTGGTGAGGTCTGGATGGCCATGGATGGACAGCCAAAAGTAGGGAGTGAGCTGGGTGTGTTCGGAATGGAGAAAAGGGATGCTTGCTGTGTACCCCTCATTAGCAGGATGCCTCCTCAGCTCCTCACCTTCCCCTGAAGCATCAGTGTCGTTCTTGACATACACCCAGAAGAATGATGTGAACCTCTTCATTCTGGACCATGCCTATGTCTATGACATCTATTAAACCCCTCCATCCAGCCAAGTTCTTCCAAAGGGCCATGCCCGTCACCGAGAGTTGCTGATCTAGTGCTCCGCCACCGGAGCTCATGGGGACTCCTGGGAACGGTCTGGAACGGAGAACCTAGTAGCGATGGCCTCCATCCTAGTAGCCCAACCTACTAGCGATGCCAAAGGACAAACTGCTGAAGTCACAAAGGGAGAATGGCCATCTTGCCGACAACTCCCTTCAAACCAGTCCTTGCGAAGCTACCCAATGAAGGGTCATTTAGAAATCACACGTTTGCGACAAATAGTGGCGGGGACTTGAATGCCACTCATTAAAGATTGCATAGCGAGCAAGTCTCACAAACCACAGCCAGGAAATCACCCGTGCTTCTTCTGTACCCTGGATCATTCCAATGTTGATCCCTTCAAAGATTAGGATCCTTCTCTCCCATGAATTCATCCTCTTAAGACATATTGTATCCAAATCCAGCTTGTCTCCGCTGCTCCTGCCATAGCTGATGGCATGGCCATGGTGACCGCTCCCAGCTGTTCGGCTGCATAGCCGGCCACGCTGGAGATGGTGGGGTAGTCGAAAATCAGCCTTGTTTGCGAGACCATGGAAGAGAAGCAAAACAACACCTAAGGTCATCCCGGTTCAGCCTTACATGGCTTAGTATGCTTAGGCTAGAGCCTAGGACCCTAGAAGACCTGAGTGAACATTGGGAACATCACTTTGTTGGTTGCGTTCTTTTTGCTCCTCAAGAACCTCTGATTGACCAAGTGGCGGCTATTCTTCTTGAGACAAAGCATTCCAAACACGCTTTCCCCAAATCCTTACATTTAGCAGTACTACCTCAGCTCAATTCAATTCAATCCAAACTCACCAGGCTGACTGAATCAAAAGCGCTGCGCTGGTCTCAGGCTGGAGTTTCATAGGTGTGAGTTTGTGACCCTGTTTCATCGCTTTCTCTGAATTACAAAAACTATAATTATACACGCCTCTCCAAGTGACGTGTTGGGAAGGTCCAAAGAGGGCAACTCCGTGGCCAAGCGATTCCGGAACTCCACCGCCGAAAGCGAGTCCATGCCTTGCAAAAACCGTCCCTCGTCCCAGGTTTTGGAGAAGAGCAGGTCGTGCTTTGAAAGGGTTGACACCAAATGCTATGTTCCTCTACCTTAAAATCCGATTATGAGGACGCATGTGGGGAGTTCCAACCCTTTGGCTTCCCACCTCGTCAAACTGCAAGTCTCAAAAAATCTCAAGAAACTCTTCAAGTCTTCTCAAAGCCCGGTCACGTGCACCCACGCAAGTCTACATCCCTCCTCAGTTGAAATCAAATAAGCAAATCGCTCTCCTGGCCCTCCACGAATGGCTTCGCCCCCTTTCTAATACGTTGGCTTTCCGATTAGCCCATTTCCGCCTGACTCCATCAACGGTTTCTCGTCCTCGACAGCACCTGGGCATCGTTGAGTTCCGATCCCTTCTCGGGAACCAATCCGAGCTGGCAAACAAAAAAAAGACTGCCGGTCTCTCAGTCGTATCTGTTGAGCCGGATACAGTATTGATACTGAATCAGTTTTTACACCTTAGTTTGCTGGATTGAGTAGCGCTTACTATCAGTGCCTCAGGTGCTTGTCCACCTGTTGAACATCTGCTGTTCCAACGAGCACAATTTCTACACGTCCTATATATTATCTATAGTGTCTATTGTCTACAATGATGTTCCCTGGATCCAGTTGCTTTTCTTTCTGGCAATCAGCTTTCTCCCTCTCTCTCTCTCTCTCCCTCCCTCTATGAAACGGAAGGGACATGAAAGGAGGCGCGACAAAATGTGGTCGATGAGTTGCTTGAAACCTCGTCTACTTAGAAATAACGTAAAACACGAGACCAGGAAGACCTGGACAATTAAGACCCTCCATCAATGGGCTGAAGTTGAACTTAATCTATGGGATGGTCTGGCAGTCACCAGGTGTCGAAACCAACCAGAAGTTGGATGCAAAAAATTAAGCTTGGAAACCGCCAGTGGTATCCGACGCAATCCTCTTCAAGAGCTGCTTGACCTCTGCAAGAGCTGCCATCCAGAAGGCAACCAAGAGCAGATTGACAAAATAGTATCTAAAACAAGAAGGAGTCATTGTTGAGAGCGCTGTGAGTTGTGTCATGTGTGAGGACCTTTCGCCTTTAAGCTATAGAAAATGAATGCTAATGATTATTCAATTCGCTGGAAGGAGCAACAATAATCACACCCAAGCAAAAAGTTGGACCTGGAGACGTGTCTTCTGTCTTCTGTGCTCTCTAAATGCGCTAAACTCCCACAATCCATCCAAACTCCTCTGCTGTGCCTCTGCTGCAGATGGCCCGGCGGCCACTGGCATGGGGGGGTATCCAGGCATTGCCGCTGCCTGGTGTCGAACCCATCGGAGCTCAAGGCTTCACGAGACTGGAGACTAGACCTTGAAGAAGGGTCCATTCCTTTCCACAAAGAGGAGAATTTCATGTATATTTGTATATATCCTTGGCACCTTGGAAGCATGTTGTGTCCTGCAAACCATCTTAAAACGATCATTGGGTTTATCGTTTGTTTGCAGTTTGTGCACTTTGCATCTCCAGAAACTAGTATTCAAGTAGAATAAACAGCAACACCAACATCTAGATTCTAGATTGAGAATAACTTTACTGTTTATGGACAAGCTCTGGCTGCAATACCCCGCTTATGGTAAGTTCCCACTCTTGCACAGTTCCCACCTCTACTTAGAACTGTACAACCACATATATATATATATAAATAAGTATAGTTCAGTGTACTGCTAGCTCAGGACTCAGGAGACAACCACATAATCACTACTTCATTGCACTGAGATCCCAGCCGGTGCAGGACCCATCTGGCTCGCAGTGAAATCAGCAATTGATGAGATTGTAGGATAGTCGAAGATCAAAGTGTTTGGCAGGTTGACTCCTGCGAGCTGCGGGCGCTACATCGACAAACAAGTCAGGAATCGAGCAGACCCAAGCTAGCATCTATTCCACCAAAATACATACTACACTATAGCTTTGAGACATGTTGATAGACTCTCTTCCTCAAACACTTGTTTGTTCTCTTTGCTTAGATCATGGAATGGTTGAATACCGCCACAAGGCGTGCTGAGCATTTTGATGTTGTCCAAAGTTCCCGGAGCCCAGGCAGAAAACACTTTTCTACCAGCGAAGCCGTAAGGAGTGGTCAACAAAGGCCGAAACCACCTACAAGGTTAGCTTGAGGTTTATCTATCAGCCATATCATCTTGCAAAAGTCACCTCTTCCTGTGCAGTACTTGTGTTTTGAAGAACCAAAAAGTCTGCAGCCATCCACAAGTCAACATGCCCACTGCAGCTGTTGTTTTCCCATGTTTTGACTATCTCAAGCAGAATCTCTCTCCTGGCATCTTTCCAGTGAAGCGATTTCGGAACTCCACCGCAGACAAAGAGTCCATACCTGGTGCAATCTGCCGGGCCCAGGGCCCTTAGATGGCTGAAGCTCGTTACTTTGAAGAGGAGAAAGCAAATCCTTCGGCTTGGAACAAGCAAGTGACATATCCCCAGTGCTTGACCAGCTGACTGTTGCATATAAACCTCAACAAACCAATTCAACAACCGCAGAATGCTGACACCTCCAACACCCGTTCCCACACGACAAGGTTATCAAACACTGGAAACTCAGGGAACCACAGTATGAGTCTGAGCGCTTTCTACATCTTACTATATATACGCGCGCCGCCACAAATAATTGACCCAGCCACCATATGGCTTTGTCTGAAAAGAGGGAATCCTGACAAGCTGACTATGTTTCACCTAAAACACATCCTGCCCGGGCGCCTGAGTCCATCAAGGGAGTCTCGGAGTCGATGGCACCGCCACCTGCCACCTCGGAGGCGATCTGCTGCAGCATCTGCTTCAGCGATGCCTGCGTGGAAGGTGCTTCAGCCCAGGGAGTGGAGTCCCTGGCCATAAACTTGGATGACTCATGGATTGATGATGGATGGACGCATTCGTTGATTGGTTAAGCAAATTCTTGATAATATCGACCAGTTGATTAAACCCTTCTACTCAGCAGCCTGGCACCACTTCTGTTTTCCACTAATGATACATTGAAATGCAAGTCTGCTGAATTTCAACCACCCCAACCACACAACCCGGCCTTGTCCACCTGCGGCACCGGTGCCGCACCCATAGCAGCGCCCATGGCGCCCATAGCTGGTGCGGCTTTGGCCTTAGGCTTGACTGTCTTCACCTGCAACGGGGTGCTGGTGAATGCGGTCGGGGAGGTCCCTCAAACCACCTTGGTTTTTAGTTCCCCAAGGTCTTCTGCCAAAGTCAATCAGCAAGCACAACAGTAAGCTGGGTGTGAATTGTCGATGTGGAGGCTCTTACTTGGTAAATTGTGATTTGAAAAACAGAGCATAAAACTTCCCGCAAGAATGGTCTACAATGTGTATGCAAATCATGAAACGGTGCTTACGTGTCTGTGCTCCTTGAAACCAACAAACGTAATGTTTTGAACTTGCAAAGAAACAAGTTATCCATCATTATTGTCAGTCGGTTTGTTCCAAGTCTTGTTGCATAGGGTGTCTACCACATGCTACCCCCAAACAAAACTCCGCTCTGAAACCCAGGAAGCTACAAGCGATCCCGCCGATTGGCCTCGCTGGCGAAGCGCGAGAGGAAGGGTGGAATCTTCGGGTATTGCTTGAGGTACCTGTGCATGAGCCAAAATCAGTGGGTGACTAAATGGCACATGATGGCACCTGATTCTTGAGCCACAGCCCATTTCAGGAAAAAGCATGAAAAAGCAGATGGACTCTGAATACTGTATCTCTGAATAGAGACCCTCGAAGACACTCCTCTTCAGACTTCAGACCAATCCTTTTGGAGTCTGAGTCTATTTGGTCTGCAAAGGTGTAGAGTGGGTACAAAGAACACAAGTGAGAAAAAATCATGTCAAGGGTTGAAAGCGTAGTAGCCAAAAGCTGGTAGAAAAAATGTCAATAGATCATGACCAAACTGGAGGTTTCTACTCGAGATAGCTCACAAATACCAAGCTCAGTGGACCAGCGGACACTGTTCCAACTGAGCTGAGGAAAAGCCCCAAATAGCGGAGTGTCCTTCTACCCATCATCAGTGGGCGCACACGGCCCAGCGCATTGGCTGTGCCACCAAGGTAGTGCTTGGAGAAGGCTTGAGGCAGCCTGCGAGCCTTGGCCAATCGCTTTCAGTATGCGGGTAACAACCAGATCCATTCATTTGTTGACCGCTCAAAGAGCTTAGAATCCAGGAAACGCATGGAACGGTGACACGCGACCAATCACGGAGATCCTGCTTTGTTGACAGCTCCGTGACAAACTAGTTGGACTCTGAGTTGTCCCGATTCCTGGACCACGATTTAGAGTTCACAAATCGTTGATCTATGTTGATCTATATATATATTATATATTATACATTGGTAAACAATCATATCGCAAACTTAAACCCTCTGCACATCTGCTTTCTTTGGGGAACAATAAGATATGTTCCAGTGCATTGCACCACCAAGAGACGCCGCCATGCCGAAGGCGTTGCTCAAAGCGCCTACACCACTGGCACGCAACCGTTCCACTGTACCCTTCTGGGCCGCCATGCCAACCTGACTGAGCCAAGCGGAGTTCTACATACGCTTTGCACTTGAACTCCAATCCACCATGCAGGCGAACCAAATGTCCATTGTCTCTAAGAGATTTGGATGTGCATCAACACTTAGAATCCCAAACTACTGTAGAATATATCTGGTCTTATGTACTATTTTGATCAAAACTTCGGGGGTCAACCAGGGATGTCGGGGTGCTACGACCCATAGCCATTTTGGTTCATTTGTGTTGTGTTTTCCCTCAGGCACAATCAAACTAAAGGTTCGGCTCTTGGGTAGTTTTGGAAGCTCCTGGCAAATGTCTATGTTATGTGTGTGTATCTTTGCTGAATATGCCAGCATGATGTGCTAAACAAACAGCTGAGCAAAGGCGATAAGCTTTTCTCCAAACTCGATGAACGAAACATAACGAAACCCGTGTCTTGCATGTTCAAAACCCTGTTACAGTATGGCTGTAGGTCCAAAAGCCCATAGCGCGCCTCCCTGTCACTTTCACGGAAGAGTGACTGCAACTGGAATTCTGGGTCGAACATCTTTGGGAATTCAATTTTGATGCTGATTTTCTTCATAAAAGCGCGCCTCTCGCCAGGGTCCCCATTGGACGGAGATGACGTTCTCCTGTTGTTCACGGGAACGACCAACTTTCAGGCGTGTCGTCAGTTCAAACGTGGTGAGATCAATCTGCTGAAAACCTTGGCGGAAGTCAGTTTCAGGCCTCGTCATGCCTCCAAACACTTCCAAACACGGCTGGGAAGAACCTCTGAAAAGTCTTAACACCAGCTCCAGCCATGTAGTAACAAGAAGCTACTAGAAACAAGTGCCACGCTAGTAGTAACAGGTACCTTACTAGTAGTAACAAGGTAACAAGAAGCCATAGTCCTGAAACACCATGTCCCCAATGGAACTCGCTGGTCTCGGACCCTCCTGCATCACTTGCTTCCAATAGCGCGCGTGACCATCCAGAGCGGCATTCGCCGCAGAGTAGTTGCCCTGCCCTGGAGATCCTGGTGGAGTTGGAGCTCCGGGGCAGACTCAGACTCATTAGCTGTTGAAGACCCTGCCTTTGAAGAACTGCCCCAAAGAAGGGATTCTTCACCCATCAATCATCATTTCAGCAGCACTCATCACCGGTCGACTGACTCCACTAAACCATCCGACCCTAAAGCCAAGAGCCCCGAAAAGAAATGTGGGGCAGCGGGCAGTAAGAAATCAAAACAAGTTGCTATAAATTAGGAAGACCTACGAAGATTGTGCCCCATTGGTTGGGGCATCTTCTAAACCCAATCATATGGAATGAGTCTCCTCTGTTCACTCCATTTCACTCCCTTCGACTCCTTTGGCCGTCTCTTTCCCCAATGTCCTAGTAAGGCCGAGGTCGATGAGAAGAGCAATGCAAAGTCCCAAGGCTTCTCGCTATCCGAGAGGCCGCACCGCAAGTGCCGTGCACCCCAAACCTGCGGTCAGTTCCCGTCAGTGCGAGTCGACCCGTCAAGCAAGTCACTGCGATGGGTTCGTGGGACTGCAAGTAAGTAGAAGAGCGCATCCATTTAGCAGGACGGAAAGCTTGGCATGAGCAATTCAGCAGCCCAATTTCCGAAGGCTGACAAATTATGGGTCCAAGCTCAAGGGGCACACGACTGGTCCTTTTCAACTTTGTTTAACATCGTCTTGAGAGGTCATGGAAGAAACCCTATAATGCCTGAAACTCCAAACCGCTCCAAAGCTAATGCTTTCCCGCTTCAGTGCGGTAATTACATAGACTCTCCCACTACTCAACCATGCAGTCTGTCTGATGTGTTTGCGACTTTTTGTAAATCCTGACAAAGCCGCGGTCAATACCGCGCCTTGGCGCCATAGGAGCGCTCCAGGTGGCCACGGGTGAGCTTTGGCATTGTGGCATCATCTAGGACGGCCGCCAGGTGGACCAGCCCTGGACCGAGCAAGCAATGGGAGTCCGACAGGAATCAGGAGAGCCCCACGGTCTGTCTTCTGGGTGTTGATGCAACCAGGCGGAAGGAGGTTGGAGGCTTTCGGGGGCAATCTAACTGTTCATTGTGAGCACAAGAGTTTTCTGTTGGTTCCTACAGCCTTCAAAGGACCACCCCCCAACGCCGCCGCGCCTCCGACACGTGGTAGGCCCTTCAACTGCAAGGCCAACTGGTTCACTGCATCCATGGAGGCGATGTCACAGCTTCTCGCAGAGATCTCCAAGCTCGAGGCCTGGAAGGACCCAAAGTCATTCCGAGCCAATGTTGCTGGTCCATATGATATGAGTATATTTTAAACAAAACAGTTCTAAACATATGTCCATCAGCATGATACTGAATATTCCAGTCAATAGTGAAGATATTTGAAGGAAAAGAACAGGGCCCCCAAATAGTGGTGATTGGAGTGTTACTGACAGGGTACTCTGACGGTTCTGCACTTAACTCAAAGATTTCAGGGCACACTCCCGCCCCCTCAATACGGGGCCATCATTCCACACAGGGCGATTCGTTCCGTCAACCTTTATGTCAATAAATGTTTGTTTTTGGTGCAACATAGCACAGCAAAGGCAAAACATGTTGCAGATTCAATTAATTGGTCGAAATACGAGACCCCCAACATGGGGGGAGCTTTGCAAAATGAATCCGCCCGGACTAATTGTCAAGACATGTACACAGGACAGGCATGACTGACATAGATAGCGTAAGGTACTTGTGATGATCATCCGCGACGCATTGGATTCGGTACCTGAATTAATTTTCAGCCTTCCTCCACATTCCTCCAGCTTCCTGGATTAATGTGTTGCCATAAATTAAGTCACCCCCGTGGGCCACCCCTTGGATTAATTTCAGCCATATGTGTGCAGGTTTAGTTTGCAAATTCATTAAACATCATCCAGTGCGCAGGGTAGCTGCACCCGAGGGCACCGGGCAAGACAAGCCGGAAGAGGAAAGCATTTTAGGCCTGACAAATATAGTAAGTCACACCTGTGTAATCCGGAAACAGCTGTATAGTACTATTCACTTAGTGTGATCCGGTGATCCTCACAGGCTTCGTGCCTGCAGCTTCTCCCAAAGGTCAACGATGTCCGCAGAAGGCTTTCCGCTGCGAGAGAGGAGCGACATGGATTTTGCACCCTCCTGTGACAGCGAGGGTGGCTGTCTGAAAATGACACTCTAGTTTGGTCTACCTTCTGCATTGCCTTGCAAGTGAAAGTGGCACGGGCCCAAACCCACCGGCAAATGGAAACATTCTTAGAATCTCTATGCTTGACCCTGGTCCAAGTACCCATTTCCCCTACGTACTTTCCTCTACCCATCTACCCAGAACAAACAGATCACACCGCCTGACACCTGATCTATCCAATCACTTCCCAAATAACCATGATCATGAAGTCCTCGAGAAGGTATTGCGCTGTAACCATGCCAAGTGCTCCCATGCCACCGGAGAGCACATAGTGTGCATCTGCCTTGAGATCCATGGTGCTTGGTTGACCTGAAGGTGGCTTTCTGCACATCTCTGCCCAATCGAGAGGAGCAGTCCGACACTGCACCAAAGCCAGAAACACCAACTGACCATGGGGGGTTTGAAGCGCGTCCGACGGCAAAACATGACAAAACTGTTGGCTTGCTCAAAGAAACCTCTGAAGGCACTCTTACTAACATTGCTCAGAACTTGGTCATTTTAGAGGTATCGGTATATCGGTATATCCGATATCCGTTGAAATGTCCACCGGGAATCATTCACCTCTGTAACCATTTTGCCTCTGGGACTCCTTGGACACGTTGCTTCATTTATTATTAGTGCTATTCATTGCACTTTGCTAAGACAAATTCGGTACACGTCCCCCACAAACGGCCTTGGACGTGAAAACCCCAATGCGGAATCCGTCTCGAGCATAATCTGACAGCAACGAGCCGCTGATGACCACCTTTCCAATGTTCTTGGCACGCTGAAGGAACTGCATTGCATTAACACCTTGGACAGAGTTGGTTCACAAACTGTGCATAATTAGCACCCCTCAGCAAAGTGCTGCTTTGGTGGGTGGTACTGAGGCGTACCGAGGTTCACTGCCCCGAGTTTCCAAGAAACACCAGGAAAACACCAAGTGAACATGAAAACAGGGCTCTTCTGGGAATCTGGGGGTCTAAGTGTGGCAACTTGACGAGGAGTCTCGTCTGTCTTTCTGTCTTTGGCGGAGCATTCCAGAAGGCCTTTCGGTCTTTTGAAGGGGGCTGCCCAAGAGTGCTTATCTGCCAATGCCAAAACCACCGTTTAGAACCTAACCACTTCGGTCTTTCTTGTGTTTTCGTTGAAACAACTTGAGAGATCTGGAGAGCTTTGTTAATATCCTCGCTCCACCAAATCAGTGGATGTTGGTAGAAATTGGATTGCCCAACATTTTGTGCGAGGAGCCATTGTCGATGCCCTCAAAGATGTGCATGTTGATCGGTGACAAGCCACCTGTCCAAAACACAACTGGCCCAAAGCTGGTTCACCTGAAGTTTAAGGCCCTGTATATAGGTTGTTGCCGTTGCGATCCACAAATCTACTTGTGATTGGGGGGGACGGCAGCAATCTGAATGGATTCATGGAGGCTGTGACACGCTCTGACACCTGCGGGGTAGGAAACACTAGCTCCCAGCCTGCTTAGTTGTGTTGCATACAAAAGTTACCAACGTGCATTTCTACACTGGAGTGTTGGACACACCATCTTGAAACGTCAAAACGGATCCATGTTGGTGCCACCATGGTTGTGCATAAAGGAACCAACAACTGCCTAACAAAACAGTGATAACACATATGCCGTGTGATGCAACATCATGATGCAGTCAGTGCTGAAGCCAGGAAATCCCCTAAAACTGTAAGTATGTTGGGCATTTGAGACTAGAGTCGTCCAACGCACTTGTCACAACACACTATATGGATCAACTTCGACAACTTGCAATGCACCTACGTTGGGCTCAACGCATCCCAAGCGAGCAAATGATTTATCGGATCTATGATCTATTAGTCAAAAGGCCAAGGTCTATGTTGCTGAAGTCATTCGTTTGCTCGCACAACCACATGACTGTAGGCAACACTTGGAGCTACTTAAAGCACATAAATATGGCATCTCACACCGTTGAGGATCAGGGCAATGAAGCCTTCGTTTGCCGCTCGCGCCTTCCTCCACACGTGTGACCAAACGTTTCATGTAGGCGTTGTAGCGCCAAGGCTCCAAGTCCTCAGTGGGGAAAGGAACTTCCTGGATGCCTCCAGGCGCAGCCCAGCTTCAAAAGTGAGCTTGGGGAGAGTGAAGTGTGTGTAGTCACCAAAACAATGCAATTATTGACATACTAATACTAGTCGAAACATGTCGAAACATAATATCGATATTTAGCATATAATCACAGAACATCTTGTGGTCTTCGCCCCTGCAATGATTGCCGGATGTCACCGGTCACCCCTTGACTCGGCGAAACCAAACCCAGGTTGGTAGTAAATGACGACCCACTAGTTGGGTACGCTCAAAGTACAGTAATTACTTGGTCGCTTGACAGCGAAATGTTCATGTATTCAATCTCAGGGCAAGATAAGAGAGTTTGTGGAGATCTCGTCGCTGCCACAGTGTCTGCTCGTAATCCTTCCAAGAATCCATCATGGTGTCTGCTGCAATCTTCTCATACATCACATCAGGCCGGGCTTCAAACATCTGCTCGTGGCTCCAAATTCCTGGCAGAACGATTGGGACCATGGCCTCATGAGAGTTTCACCACCTCTATATAGAAACGAATCATGTTCAGCATCACCTTTTTCCATAGATGTTGTTTCTCATAGTTTTGTGTGTATATATGATCAAACTATATCATATCATATATCATTGTGACATACGATAGTTTCAGGGTAGTTGTATGGACAGTTAAATATGACTGGACAATGTCTTCTACAAACCTCTTGCACTTGATCTGCTCATTCAACTGCAACTCGTTCAACCTGCAGCCCGCTTCCAAAAAGAACCTATGAACCACCCTAGCAGTGAAGATCTGCAGTCCGTCAAAGGTTCGCACGCAGTTGCAAAAGGCTAAAATTCAATCAATGGACTCGCAAAACACCACACCTTACGCATGTCTGAGTTCCTAGAGGTGAAAAGCGTTTTTTAGAATGGTCAACTGGTCAACTCTTTCCTGCAACAAATTGTCCCCACTGAGCCAGTCCACCAACCCTTCACACACAGAACATATCCGACCTCTCTTGCCAATCTCCATGAAGCGACCCCCAGGCTTCAGCATTGCCAAGGACCGGCCAATGTAATCGTCGTGGCCTCAGCGTGGCAAAAGCGCAGTCGGTGGGAACTTGGCAGAACAAGGTCCATTGGAGTTCCATAGCAGCTACTAGTTATATAGCTACTCGTAGCGTCCCTGCTACTAGTAGTAATGCCCTTGCTACTAGTAGCGTCCTTGCTACTATGGAAGAGATACGGCCCCTATAATCAGCGAGTATCTGCACCTGCGGTTTATGGCAGGAGGAGGAACCCCCATCACTTTTTGGGAACAGGATTCATGAATCTGCCAAACCAAAACAGAAACGTTACCGTTGCATGTTCAGGAGGTTTCTGCCCCATGCTCCAGGCTCATTGTGTCCCCGCTGTTCTCCACTTTGGTGCTTCCCGAGCTCATCTATTGAAAACAAACTGGATCAAGGGGATGCAATACAAACATCTTGCCTGAGCTTAAGCTGGGGGTCTCATTGAGGCTATGTCAATGGTCTATTTTGCCCATCTTTGCTGCACCCGTTCATCCATGCCACTCAAGCTGTTGAGCACAACATCCAAACCATCAGAATCTTTCAGGAAGTTCTTCATGTCCTGGCGATGACAGTTCTGGGTAGCACACGGAAGTTCTTCCGGTGAACATCAACGCCGGCTTTCTTAGATTAGATGTTCATCTCCCCCAACATCAAGACTTGTGTGTAAGAAATTGCCGTCCAGGGAACCACCTGGAGATTGCATGTTTATGGTCTGAGTCCTTGGAACCATTGGTTACCTCGTAGTATAGTGGTACGTAGCCTGATCCACTGAGCTGGCTATGTCTACGTGCGAATGGACAATTGCTTTGTTTGCACAGAATGTCACAGAACCACCAAGCAGTCCCGTGATTGTCCATTCCTAGGCCAAGCGGCACGGACAAAGATTCAACACCAGGGTGTTCGCGACATCCCGAAACAAAGAACCCCTCACCCAGGCAAGTCAGGTTTCAGTCACCAACTTTGTTTTGTTAACTACTGTAATGATACTGTAAGAGTTCCTGTACTTTGCTCTTTGCAGTGAAAGTACATTTTTAATGATAGTCTTTCTGGGGCGAAAGTGCATGCTCAGGAGGCACGTGAATTTCACGATCGGTGTCGTGGGATACTGTGCCTCCTCAAACTTGGCGCCATTGCGGCTGCTGGTGATGTACTTCACACCTTTCAATTCGCTTGCGGGAGCAGTGGCAGTGGGACACTTACTGGGTAGTGTAAACTCCCTCTAACATCCGCAGTATGTGAAGGTCTCAAGTGGGATGGCCCACTTTGGTTTCCGAACGGCTTGTGCTCGAGGGACTCGAAGGACACATAATTATTATCTGCTGCTAATATGTATGCTGTAGTCAGGCATGCATTCATGTGATAGGTGTTTGGCTGTCGTATATGTTTGTTGCTTTTTTCTTATTCTGAGCCATGTTTCATTGCTTCACCTGATTCAGACATTTCCGTATTTCCAATGACCCACCCTCAAGTATCTGTCCGTAAACCTCTACATCCCACAATGGAATTCCGATGAAGGGCTTCGCAGGCTTCCAGGCACCAATTAATTTGGTTAATTTCAATCATTGGCAACCAAAAGTTGTCCGCCGAGGGCCGATGGCTCTGGCAGCCAAGTGACCCATGGAACGCAAAAACTCGTGCTTCTCCTCGGCGCCTGCAGTGGCATAGACCTGCAGGTCCACTGGCAAGTTTGGAAGCTAGAGAGATCTTTCCGCGGATCAGGTTTGATCATTCACACGATGTCAATTTGTTAGTGCCAGAAACAATTAAAGATAACAACAACAAGAAACTGGGAGATTCTTGGCTAACTGTGAGCCCAGCTGGCACATTTTGAACCATATCAGATGTATATATGATAATATATGTTTGTTTGCACACGAAAAGGTACTCCAGTTTTGCCCTTCATCCTTCGTGGAGCCATGCACGAAGTCTGAAGTCTGTGGATGCCTCCGCACCGACGTGGAAGGCGTATTGGATGGCCACCAGGCCCACGCCACCAGCGGCCGCGTGCACGAGGACCTTCTCGCCACGTTTCAGTTGCGCTAGGTCACCCAGGGCCTAGCGATGCCAGGGCTGAAAAATAATGTGGAGGAAGTATTTGTGATGCGGGTGCTGGCACATGGTAGTTTTGGTGCAGGTGGGTGGTGCTGGTGCTTTTTCCAGGTGGAGCACGTTGGAACCCGGTCACTGAAGAGTGGAGGCTTAAAGACCAGTGTCCAGGGTTGTTGTCAACTGGCACCTCCTTGACAGATGAACCAACTTCGTTGCTTTGAGATGCAAGGGAGACAGGCTACATATATGTATAATATACAATTATTCAAAGAACAGCATACATATACAGCAATGATATGCTAGCGTCTTTCAGCCACCACCATCAAGAATATCCTGTTTGATACAAGCACTGAAGCCAGGGTGATTCAGAAATTGATTTACTTCTAACTGCTGTAGGGTTCTTCAGTGCCAGCTGCCATGAAGGGTCTCTCTAACACAGGGTCAGCACACAAAGCACATGCGCAAAAAGCAAGTTGCATGCACGAGCAAGTGCAGGATGGCCACAAGGGAGCCCATTTGGAAGGGTCAGGGAATCGGGAATGGGCCAAACATATCTATATAATATATATATATATACTGTACTGCCTTCTGCAGTGGAGAACATGGACAGGATGGCTCGCCTCTTCCACCGTAACAAAGATCACTGGCATACAACAGGCCTGGCGAGGATCGGATGTATCGATCTCCACAGTGAAGGAGATACATCGATCGACACCCATATCACATTCCCAGTACTTTCCCAACTTTGTTTTTGGGTGTCAATCTTTTGCTAAGCAAATGTAAATCTAGGCGGTCTGCTCTCCTCCCTTCCAGGATGCCAAGTATTTTTCACAGAATCAAAGTGCTTTGAGAGGAGAAACCTGCAAAGTTCAACAACTTCCTAGTCGAGTCTCCGCTCCTCACTCAGCGACAAAGGGTCCAAGTAAATCTTCACTGTGGCTGATGTTTTGACTGCGCACTTTTCAGCACCTCCTCGAAGGACCAGGAGTCCGGCTTAGGCGACAAAAGCGCCGCTGGGCCGCAGTTGTAGCGCCGCAGGCAGCCCGGAGACTCACCAAAGACGTCCTCTCCCGGTCCTGAGAATCAATCAGGAGAGCGGACTTGGCTGATACAGTACTGTGCCAGCTGCCATTGGTGGCAAAGATTCAACATCAATGATCGTTAGTGACAGTTACAGTATATACATCTTAATTTTGGAGGTTTTGCGAACATAAAGACGTTCGACTAGTGGTTCCATGTGAATGTGGATGTAGGTCTGTAAAGTTCTGTAAATGCGTGTTTGGAACTGATCCCGCCAATATATACAGGTATATGCAGTTGGTAAAATGACCCCAGGAGGTCCAGTTGCCACTTGCTTCTAGGTGACCACTTATTCAAAGACTTATAGAACCGTAGCAAAAAAACTTCTTGGATCTTCTTGGGTGCATTCACCTCGTCAAAAGCCGGGCTGCAGTACTTTTCCGGTTTTTGGTGCCCAGGCCAACACAAGCAAAAGCAACTCACAATGAGAAACAAACACATATCTGCATTGAGATACCAAAGCTCTCAAAAGTGCTCCCGCTATGGTCAAACACAAGGCACCAACAATATACAGTATGGGAAAGTTGAAAAGCCAAGACTACCAGCGACTACTATGCACAGCCAAGAAGTGCAAGCCTCAAAAGACACATAGAACACATAGACATGGACAAGTGCGGGATCCCAATTTGACCAACATTGCTTCAATCTAGCTGGGGGATCGCAATACCCACAGGTCAAGCAGCAAATTGCACTGGCTCTGGTCTCAACTACTAGCTTCTTGCTCCTAGTAGTACGGCCAGGAGCCCCTAGTAGCGTTCTTGCTCCTAGTAGCGATGCCAGGAGCCCCTAGTAGCTTCTTTTGCTTCAAAGTACACAATCGGACCCTTTCACCACACATCGGCCAAGCGGCGGATGTGGGTGATCTCTGTGCCAGTGGACAGCACAGTGCCTGCGTTGGGAGCCGCTGCTCCACCGACCAGACCCGGCTGCCCAGGGGCGGTTGTGGCGGACCATCGAGCCAACAGGTCGGCTGGGACGATGGAAGAACGTGAAAACAATGAGAAGCATTGCAAAAGCCAATGATCAAACAAAGAAGGCAAAAAAAGGACCAACAAATGCAGGAACATGATAAACATGAAAGAGGTAAAAGCAAATAGTTTATAATAAGGAAAACAAAGGAGAGGAAAAAGTGAGCACCAGGATTCCAGGAGTTTCAATTGTGTGTTTTTGTACCCTAAGTGAGTGGATAATGGGCACACCTACCCTCTAACAGCCGTCCCTGCCGAACTCCTGGCAAGGTTGTTTCGGTGCGTCACTCGTTGACACATATTGAAATGACCAACTGAAGATCTTGAGATCGCAGTAACCAGCACAAACAACGCACCGGCACTTTCATCAGGAACTTCTGGGGGCCGGCTTTGGATAGCAACTCTATGAAACAAAGCCTGCCATATGCCTGCTTTTTGCTTTCTCTCTCTCTCTCTCTCTTTCCGTGTCTTGTCTGACTGTTCATCAATTTCGAGGTCTATCTTCATTTCTGTACCTGTGGTCTCTTATGATTTGGCTACCCTCTCTCGGTGCCTGCACTGTCAGCTCCTGGAGGCCCAGGGTCTCCCGGATAGAGACCTCAGCGACCAGTGCAACTCAGGCGAGTCCATGAGTATGGAATCGGTCAGACCAAGCACTATAGCCGCAAAAGCTGCTAAGGGTATGAGAACTGTGGCAAACGCTAATCCATTGAGGAAACACATTCCAGTTCCGAATGTGCAAGCTACCACTTAACCTACAGTAGTTCTCTCGACATTGTCTCACAGTTTATCAAAATCGGAACTTGTAACTTGTCCATGTTCGTCCATGTTCATCTATGACCATGCGATGCTACCACATCCGAGACCTTGCGCGGCTGTTGATACCTTCTACAATGCTACAATATTCTATGTACAAGTACAAGCACTCTTGGGGAGGGTTTGACTTCATTTGGGAGCATCCACGGTTGGTTCATGCTGATATTCTCCAGGCTCTCCGGTTTCTGCCACCACTCCCTTGACCCATCTTGACCCGCAATTCTCTCATCTGAGCAGCCCATGACGTTCAGCACATCTCGGAAGTTCAGCCCCACCGCACGCACACGGATCTCCGCTTCGCTGGCCTTTGGAGCTTGCCGGGACTCTTGCAGGACCGGCCTGGCAGGACGGGTGAACAGTGGGCCTGCTAAAACCCCCCCTGGAAGCCATGAATGACATCTGTTTTGATAGAACAGGCTCATATTTTGCGAAGAATTGTCAAATGAGTGCCTTGTGCACAAATCAACTTGGTGTGGTTATCCTGCCATGGACGCATGATAGATTATGATCAGTTGCAGCATTCATAATTTGCTTGTCAGTTTCTGCTGCCAGTCACACCGAAGCCGGCCTCAAGTTGGAAAGGCTTCCACCTTGGCAATGCGACGAAAGGGCATGATCCTAAGGCCTAATATTGTGGTTGACCTCGTATTGAAAACTGCAACTGGTTGGTCCTTATGGGGAAGGCAAAGAAACATGCAGGACCTCTGGTAGAAATCCCGATATAAGTAGAAACTGATTGTCTGGCATTGTTTGTCTTGTGAAAAACAAAAAACATAATCGGTAGTAATGTAGTTCATTGTAATTCATCCCTTACATCTACTGGGCAAACCACTAAGACTTGACAAAAAAGTCTTGCTTGACCCTCGTGGGAAAACATATTTCATCCCCTAGAAGAAACACCTTAAAGGGCAGAGTTTGAAACAGTTAAACCACAAGTAAATTCATTGTCGGTCCATAGGGCATCTCACTACCTGTTCTGTCTCCAATTCACTTTGGCTTTCAGTGAAGACTTTAACACATGCTTTAGTTGTTTTTATGTTGTTTTGATACTCGACTCTCTTGATCACAAATGCCTTACCTGGTATTCAATTTGGCACTAATTCAAGAAGCAGCCCGAGAAACAAAAACGAAAAGTTACTTGGTGTCTATTGGCCGAAATGTTGCAAGGCCTGTCATCTGAAGAAGCAGTCCCGGGTTCATTTTCCCAATGCCGGTGCTTTCCTCAATAGATACAGAAACCATGCAATCACTTTTTGAAAATGCTTTTTAAGTGTTTGTGGAGCACAAAAACAATTAAAACAGGAGTTAATTCTTCGAGAAAATACAGTTAACATTGCAATTGCAAAAGGGTTATGTAATTCTTGGCTAAGATGTGGGGCGTCCAACTCCCGTCTCGGAACAATTCAATCGAATGTATTCCAAAGTTAAATTCTGTCAAATTCACGCTTTCACTGCCTACCGGAAGACCACGGCGGTTGACTAAAACCAGTTCATCCTCGTATTTCATTGCACCCCCCCATATTAACCTCGAGTGGTCTGGATTCGTCGGGGTTCTGCTGGGTTATACAATTATATATACAACTACTCAAGTCCCTTATATAGATGTCCCCTTTCGTATTATAGTCGTAATATAATATATATATACAGTATACACATCACAAATCTGTTAGCCGCGCCAAGCCACGGGAGGACATCAGCAGCTCCCCAGCCTTCAGCGGCAGCGCCTTCTCCGCTCGTGTGAGTCTTGAGACCGTCGAGGCCTCCTGGGCAATGGCCACTTCTGTCTCAGCCTGCGTACAAACGTCAACGAGCGAGTAGTTGGAGGTGAAGATGGTGAAGAGACTCTTAAAATCATAAGGAGGAGAGGTATGGAATATCCAAGGGGGGGAAGCCTTGGTGGACATGGTCTGAGTTAGAAATTAGTCCACGCAGTGTGTTTGCGGATCTGAGCATACGAGGGTCAAACATGCATTGGACTCCAACAAAATTAATAGTCCAACATTACTCAGTCTCAAAAGGCCAGACACTCCTCATTCCTCATGCAATGCAAAAGAAAATTAGAAAAACACACGCACATTTCGACCACTTGCGGCCATGGGTCTAGGAGATCTACCTGTTAGAATAGACACCCACATTGGACCCTGGGAGAGGCCTTCGCACTAACAAACGTTCTTTAGCGCCATGCCTCGCTCTTCTGCAGCTGCGTGAGCCAATGCTTCAGCCTCTGTGATCATGTGTGATCTGCCGGTGAGTGGGTGCATCTGCTTGGTTGTTGGGAATATTAAAATTTGAAATGAACAATAAAAATCCATATGCTCCGGTGAGGGATTTAGTCATTTAAGGGGACACGACGGTGTCGCTTTCAAAGAGAGGTGGGCACTCCTGTGGTCGCGCAGCCCATCGTGGCCAGGCGGCTGTGTGGCCAAAGTCGCTGGAGAACTCGCTGAGTCGTCCAAGTCCAAACACCTCCAAGAAGCTACTAGTAGCAAAGGGCATCGCTACTAGGAGCAAGGACGCTACTAGGAGCTCCTGGCCTTACTACTAGGAGCAAGAACGCTACTAGGGGCTCCTGGCATCGCTACTAGGAACAAGAAGCTACTTTGAACAGAAGCTACTCCAAACCCGGTGAGAGCCGAGGTGAGCCGAGGGGAGATTTGGTGAGCTGAGGTTTCACAGCAAAGGGCCAGGTAGGGTGAAGAGATGAGTATATGGTGGTTACTGTATATATATATAGTATTTTAATAGCTATTGAATGATATTGATATTATATAGTACTGTTATATACAGTAGTCATATTTTATCTTTGGGGCAACTGAGTCAGCATGTGGCTTCGACGACAATCCTGGCCCATACCAGCAATGAAGCTGCCTCAGTTGCACGTTGCGCTCCTCCATCCGGAAGGTGCGCGCCAACCCCCAAAGCCCGCCGTGCACGTAGCTTTGAGTGACCTGGTCCTCACGCTGTGGCCAAATGCCTTCTTGCCGCGCTGAACTTTACTCTCCCTGATTTTTTGCCAAACGCTTAGCTCAGCGTGTCGTCCCACCCACAATCCATAAGTACGAAACATATCCTCTCCAACCTGGATCAGTTACACCTATATAGCTCAGCTTGCTCGTTCCTCCAACATCAACGCACTTAAGGATGCATTCAATTGCCCAGTTGCCAGTCTTTCTGCGGAAGCTTTCTGATGACTTTGGACTTAGATATACAGTATTAGTTCGTTAATCATCCAAGTTGTCAAGCTGTCTGTGAGGATTCCTACAACACATGCCTGTTCCGACAGCTGGTGACGTGAATAACTAGACTTGCATCCACCAGTGCCATTTTGCGTGGTCACCACTGAGACAAAAGTCCCGCAAGTCCTTAACACTTCATCGCAGCATCGGAGGTCATAAGAATCCCGAAAAACCTGCACCAGTCCACAGTTGTCTCTCCGGTCCACGCAGTGCCCCGCACATTGCACTCCTGTGTGCCCTTGGTGACCCACCAAATGGGTGGCACGCTTTGTCGTGCAGAAGCCATCTCCATGGCCACTTGCGCCACGAACAAGGCCGACTGCAAGGCCTGCACCGTTGGATCCGTCGTGTGCGCAGTCGCCCGGTACCAAGCTGAATCAGGTCAACAGTAGATTCGATGTGTACTGTATAAGGCGGTTCACCTTATCCACCAAGGGTTTCCAAGTAGCCTAAGATTAGATCGAGTTATTTCCACAAGTTGAAATCAGCATAATTACTCCTATTATGTACTCACAACAGCCTGAGATCTTTCATAATGTTTCCAAATCAACACAACCAAATACAACAACTAGTTTATAGTGCAAGCCTGGGTCAAAATGTGCCTCACACCACTCTCCCTGAGTCTCCACCCCCAAAAACTTAGCGCGAAACACATCCAACACCTCGGCTTGGATCAAACACTGGCCAAGTGTCAGCGTTGTAAACATGCTTGCCCCGCAGGACGGTGAACACCCATGAAAATTGTCTAAATCTCTTGTGCAGCTTCCACCAATTTGTAGGATCATCCCGGCGTGTTTGGCATTCTTCCGTCGATCTCCAATAGTTTTTCAATGTGGCGTTCGACAACAACAACAACAACAACAACAACAACATGGTCTCAAAAAAAACACATGTTGTTGGAATGATCTGGTTGTTGACTATGTTTAGCACACTCTCAAGTCCTGGCATTGCTCTCCAGCCTCCATCTCGGGAGTTTCACAAAGCGCAGCCGCGTGGATGATGGCCCCATGTGGTTCCTTCATCTGCACTGCCAGGGCCTCCTATAGCTGCATATCCGGCGGAGGGGCACAAAATGTCCAAGAAAAGTCAAAGTTATATGAAGGAAGTTATCGTTATATATATATATACTTGAGGCCAAGGGGGGGGGCGAAAGCTAGCGCTCCAGAATGGGAAAGTGGAGGGCAGCGAGGTAGGAAAAAACACGGCGCTCTTTTTGGAGGCAGGGGTGAAGAGTCCTTTATATGTGGCTCTTTGCCCGGATCCTCCTGCGAGAGAAGAGAGAGAAGAGAGACGGAAAGACGAGAGACAGAGAGGAGAGAGAGAGAGAGAGGAGAGAGAGATGAGAGAGATGAGAAAGAGATGAGAAAGAGATGAGAGAGATGAGAGAGATGAGAGAGATGAGAGAGATGAGAGAGAGAGACAGTGAGACAGTGAGACAGTGAGACAGTGAGAGTGAGAGTGAGCGAGTGCGGCCGCAAGATACGCAACGCTAACCGCATGCCAAAGAGCGACGACAGGACGGAGTCGAACTTGCGAAGAGGGAGGAGGGAGGGAGGGAGGGAAGGTGGGAGGAAGACAAGGAGGAGGAGAGGGGAGGTGGGGTGGGGAGAGGGGAGAGGGGAGAGGGGAGAGGGGAGAGGGGGACCTACAAGGACAGTGTCCATAGCCTTACTTCACCCTCTTGCTTCAACTGTCTCAGCAGGAGACACCCATTTGGGATTACCACGCATGGACTGATGGCGCTGCAACATGACCAATGGGGCCATCGCTGAGAATGGGTGATGCTGTCCACCTGCCTTTGGAGATTGGGTGGCGAGGCATATGTGGGACAAAAGCCAAAACTCTGCCAGAGACGTGCGGTGACTGAACCAAAGACACCAGAAACCGGAACACACTAATCCAAAGGCCTGTAGTCACACAACCTTTCAATGACCTTCAACTCTAGCCATTGCAGTTACTCAGATGCATGAAGTCCAATACCTGCGAGTCCAACTTGGTCAGCTCAAAGACTATAAATTAACAGTACGAGCCCGTGTAAAATCTCTCGCCAGTGCATCCAAGAGGTTGTCATCGAAGACTCTGGCTAGTCAGCTCGTATGACTCGGAAGCTTGTCACCTAGATTGGCTTTGCTGACACCCTCAGGAGCGTCTCCTTGGTGCCTTCCACAAAGCTGGCATCGGGGAATTCCGTGGCCAAGGCCTTCTCCAGCTCCATGTCAGCGCCGACAAAGAGCAAAGCCTCAATGAAAGCTGATAGGCGGGGTGCCTAGAAGAATGCAAGAATTATGTATAATTTGATCAAGAGTTCAAGCTGCAATTGAAGTAATGAATTATGAATTGTAAACACTGTTGGCAATGCAGTGCTGGCTCATGGATGCACCACAACGTGCAACAAATCCCGAAGATGGTTGTGAATAAACCAATTTTCATTTTTTTCCTATAGAGTAGGTTTGGAGCGTATGGGATTATTCCAGTGCAAAACCTCCACTCTCCAAACAATACCTCTTAAATTGAGAACCATTTCGAGATCCTCTTTACCTCGCTACGTTCACTTCTTCCGTCCCAAGAAATGGGTTGCAATGTGGGACAAATGCCTTCAATTTTGCGATTTCTTTATTGTGAGGCATGTACTTCACACCGAATAGTTCAAACTTTTGATACCTCTCAAATAAGGATCCACGTATGCCATCCGCATGCTGCGTGGGTCCAAGCTCATTGCCCCAAAATGGTGGCCCCATGGATTCAGTGAACATAGACCAATTCCTTTGCGCCCTGAAGTCTCAGGCAAATCTGCTTGAGAAATGCTGAACAACAGAAGGGAAAACACAATTTTCGTAAACCACAGGGCGCATCACAGCCGTCCCCGCCCTGTGCAGCCCTGTGCCTGCCTTGGGCAGCATCAGGTCTTTTGTGGGAGCATTCTCCATTGGCACCCAAGCCACTTCCAGTAAGTCCTGCAGCATAGACCCCTGCATCAAAAGCAGAGTCAAAGTTCATGATCTATCAATTGAACTATTGAACATTTTAACGCCTTTTGTATAGGGTATAGGGAAAGGCACACGAGAAGTACATCAACCCTTGACATCCCCTGAGCTTTCGAAACCTAGAAGACTTCAAAAAAGGAAACCAAAGCTTCCCACTTGTGGGTTGCGGGTGGACCAAGCCTGGGCACTTCCAATCAATTGCCCCTCTAAGTCCCACCTCCTTGACACGCCCCACTTGGGGTTAAAACCGGCTGTCGCGTGCGTGGTGCATGTTCTGCCTTCCATTCGCAGGTCCTCGTCCGCATCCCCTGCACTGGCGGCCAACATTTTTGCCTTAAACGGCAAAGACCAGCTTCATGGAATTTAACGAATAAGAACGTAGTGATCCAATTAGAACATATGTTAACCTTGTAACGAGCCACTGGTTCTAGATCTTTCATGTTTTCCAGTTCTTAGCATCAGCAGCTTGAGATTATAGTACGGACTATTACTGTTCATCCAAATGATGACACTTCCGTTGATCTGTTAACTTGCTGGAATCAAATGTGTGTTGAATTTTTTTGGTCTGAAGGGGGCCCAAGTAAAATTCGGATTTGAAAGGGACGTCCTTTGAAATCCTCACAATACACGAATAATTTTTCGGCTGACATACCATGCCTCAATTGTTGGGTAGTAACATGTTCTTTATTTGCACTGGAAGAATGGAATTGTGCACCTAGTCAATTCCGCTCAACAAAGTGATGTTTCACCATGTTCCACCGTTTTCAAGAGAAAGCTTCGTGAGGCATAGACGGAAGTAGGGACAAATGTGATATTACAGGCGTGTGAAGGATTGCAATGGTGTGTGTGTCAACCTCTGTAACTAAAAGTTTTGAATGCAGGGGGCCAGCGGCCGACAAGCAAACGCTGGCCAACAAAGCTATGCTTGCTCGGTGGATGCGGTCAGAGACGTCTGACCGTGTACCTGCAAAGAAACTGTTGCTCACGCCATGGTGTTTCATGATACTTCCCACAAACCTTCTCCCCACCGCCGCTTTTCAGCCGCCTTCAGCCGCTCGTGAGCTGCCGTTGCGATTTCTGCAGATGCGCATAAACCATTTGTTAAAACACCTACAAGTTCTTGGACTTTTCGCCTTGCGGTTCTCTCGCCTTCCTTCCACTTGGGAATTGAATAACTGAAAACCAATGTCGGAGTGTGACTCGCTCAGTCGTCCCACTTGGGTGCTGGGTGTGATAGACCCAACCGTATTCTCTACCCCAAACACCCCAACCCCCCCCCTTTAATTAAATTAGCAGAGGGAAATGGTACTCGGCACACTTGTGTGTCGGTGCCTTTCCCTCTGTTGTCCCTTTTCTAGCCTACTCTACTCTACCCGGGCGGTGAAAGACCAAAGTCCCGCTCCCTAACTAGTGCACCTAATTCATTCGGCTAAGTATTCAGTAACTCTAGAGTGCTAGGTAGTCATACACTCTGACAATTGTATTCAGTTAACTCAGTTCCCAAGTCAAAAGGAATGAGGGAAACGCAAGGTGACAGGGTCAGCTCAACTGAATTGTTGAACAAATTGTTCACTTGTCTGCAGAAGCGCGGCTGAACAACGGCGGCTGAAAGCAGCTGTGGGAAACCTGTTTGAGGGGAGAGTATCGTGATCAACAACCATGGCACCAAAGCACAGCAAGGAAAAGTGGAGTAGTGTCATTGCGCAGGTACGTTTTCCTGATCATCCAGTGTGGAGCTTCGTTGGCAAAGGCCACAACTGGAGATCCCTCTGCCCCCTGCGTGTGAAACTGTGGTGGAGGTGGTGGTGAAGGTGAACCCTTGGCCCAGGGGTTGACACACACAGGTCGCCGGAATCGGCGCTTTTTCCTTTCAAAAACCGGCTGCAAGCAAGTGGGTTGTGTCCTTTTTGGACGTAGAGCTTCACTAGCTCAGTGGCAGCAGCTTCAGCGCTTGAAGGTGGAAAGGTGTATTTGTGGATGGTGTGAAGTCTGGATTGGAGGCCTGATAGAGCCAAGCGCTGGCTCCCGGCGCTGGTGGCATCCCTGATTTTCCAGGGTTGTAGAGGTTGAATGTAGGTGATGGTACGTTGTTGTAGGTCAATATTGAAGCCCAGGAGGTGGAAGTCGTCAACAGGTTCAAGTTAGACTGGGTCTCCAAAGAAGTTGTGATGGATGAGGGTTTGAATGGCTGGGTGGCGGAGGAAGTGTTCGTTGTGGACAATGAATCTGTTGTCAACGTATCGGTAGTATGCAAAGTGCAGGTCGGTGTGTTGAAGGAGATTGTTGTGGATCTGGTGCCAGGAGTGTTCAATGAGGGTGATGGCGACGTTGCATAGGGCTGGAGAGAGTTGGGATCCAATCCCAGCTCCGCGGATTTGTTTGTATGTGTTATTGCAAGCCCGGAAAATGCAGGTGTCGAGTGCGTAGGCAACAATGGTGGTGATGTCGGAAGTCTGGATGGTACGTTGTGTGGGGTGTTTTTGGTGGTGTCGGCCGATGTGGGAGTGGTGGAAGGGGTTGCCTGTGGCTTGAACATCCACTGTGAGGGTGTGTGTGGATTGTTGCTGTTGCCAGTGGTGAATCATGGAGTGGACTGCGTCGATCAGACGATGCTAGGGAACTGAGTTGAAGAAGCCCACCAGGTCGTCGTTGGTGGCGCACAGCGAGATGTCTCCCGGGGTTTGGGTGAGGTAGCAGTGGAAGTGGCGCCAGAGTTGCGGGATGGAGAGCTGTCCTGGATGCTGTGGGTAGAGGTGTTGGAGAATGATGTCAAGAGCGCGGCTGGTGATGCGTAGGTTGCCACTGAGTGAGTGAAAGTAAGAGATAATGGTGCGGCCTTTCTGCCACTGCTTTTTCTCCTTGAGGTGGACCGCACCATATGGGATGTTGAAATCCTTGCGGAAGCCCCATTTATAGCGGGCGCGCAGGATGGGCGGAACAGTGGCTTTGAGGTGGTCGTGGATGTTTGCGGCTGTAAGGTATGGAAGTTGTTCAAAAAGTTCGGGAGATTGCCATGTGTTAAGGGCACCGGTGAAGTATTGGCGGGGGCAGAACAGTCGGAGTTGCTGCAGTTCATGGTCTGCATGGTGAAGTACTGTGTGTGGGCCGAGGTATTCCTGGAGCTGACGAAGCAAGCGAGCTGAAAAACGGGGTTGTTGTTTGAGATGGGTGTTGTGGAGGCGTTCCAAATGCTGTGTAAGCCCTTGAAGCTTGAGCCATTTCGTGTAGGCCGTTTGGAAAGTGAGGAAATAACGCGCCTTACTGGGATAGTAGGTGCTGCTCATGTTGGCGTTGAGAAAGATGTTGAGGTGTGGTGGGAGGTGTAGCTGGTCCAGTGTAAGAATGTAGTGGCCGTTGGTGGTTGGTGTGTCTGGATCTTGGAGGAGATTGCGAAGGTGGTTGCATGCGCAAGGGAGGTCTGCTGGATCAGGTGGTGAGTGGAGAGTGTCCTCCCAGGTGTGGTGGTTGTGGAGTTGGGATCGAAGGGTCTTGTGGGCTGCTTCACGTAGGCGATGCGATGGGAGGTGGAGGGGAATGGCCAAATGTTTGTGTTGCTGGATGGTGGTGCGGAGCCATTGTTGGCAGTGTTTTGTAAAGTCATCGTGCGCCAGGAAAGGCACTGTGAGCGGGATGTTCGGTTTGGGTGGTGTAAGATTACGGAAAAGGAGGGCTTCGTTGATGATGTGGAGAGCTCTGCTGCGGCCTGGTTCTTCGAGATTGGCGGCCATGCGCCTGATGGCGTAGACTTCGAGGTCGGTATGACGGCCGCTGCGCAGTTGTTTTGCTGCTTCAAAGGAGGCTGCTGTATGTTTGGTTTGGTTGCGGAGAAGTGTGAGAGCGTGATGTTTGGTGGAAGTGTATAGAGGTGTGGTTCCCTGATGGTGTGTTGGCGTTGTCGTAGTCGTCGAAAGAGACGTTTGTGTGTGGCCAACCTGGAGTAAAAGTGTGCTCGATGTTTTGTAAATTGCCATCCTTGAGCTTTAAGTTTGAGGTGGTGCGAGATGAAGGGCCAGTTGAGTGTGGGCATCCAGTTGGCAATGTGATGGTGTTCCTGGATCCAGGCGTGATCGTAAGTGTCGTGGGATGTGAGCTGAATGGTGGTGTAGTGGTGAATGTTGTTGCGGGAATGCCAATAGCGTAAGGAGAGTTCTGCCGAGATTGGGATATTGTTCTGGAGTGGCTTGAGCTTGGCGCGGCGGTTGTGTTCTCTGTGTGGAATGCCAATGGCGGTGGAGCCGACGTAGAAGTGGCCATGCTGGTGGTAACAACGATTTGGTGGAATGGGGTTGAAGTACAGTTTGACGTAAACGGAATTCTGGGAAAGAAAGTTTTATGGTAGTGGTAGGTATGTGGAAGAATGTGGAGTTGGCGGAAGCGGTTGCGCCACTGTTGAGATCGATGTGTTGTGGATGGATATGCAAAGAGTAAAGTGATGTGAATGAGGCCTGTCACAAAGATGGCCTCTGCGCGTTCTATGTATTGGGTGTGGTGGATCAAAAGGGATAAGGCGCGGTGGAGGTGAAAGAGATGTTGCATGGTGGTGTGGCTGGGTTGCTGCTGGCTGAGAATAGCGAGTCAGCAGCCGATGGCTGCGCCCACGCTGACCAGGTGTTGCAAAATGCGGATGGGTAGTCGGTTGACGCGACCGAGTGGGAGGCCATAGCGAGTGGCGGCTTCCTTCAATTGTTGCGTGGTGACTTTGCTTGTTTGGAGTAGGCGTAGGACTTCGTTGGCCGCCTCTTGGACTGTGGGGTCAAACGTGGTGACCCAATGCTGGATGTCGGTGTTGGTCCCAGCTGTCAGGGATGTCGTCCTTAGGGATGGGTGTGGAGGTTGCAGGACGTCAGCCAGGACGGGTGGCTTGTGTGCTGGTGGGGTCGGTGGGTGGGGTGGGTCGCCAGAGCCTGTGGTGTGGCTGGTGCCCTTCATGGGGGTGAGAGGATTGCCCAAGTTGTGGAGCTTCTGTTTTGCTCGGGCAAGCTCGTCTGTGGTGGATTTGAGTGCCTTCCGCCGGTGCCGGTGAGTGGGATTGGAGTTGCTGGATGAGGAGGTTGATCAAAGGGGCGTGGAAAGCACGTGCTTGTGTTGTCTTGCTGGGGATGTCAGTGCCTTGTGTGGTGTGGAGGGTTTCGGCGACGCCGTCCAGGTCCAGGCGTTTCTCCCGGATTTCCTGGAGGAGGTGTGTGACGAAAACGGATTCGGCCACACTCCGGGTGGCGATGAAGCCGGTGTACTTCCCATGGCTTATAAGGGTGCGTGCTGTATACTCGGCCGTGCCGTGGTATGCGAGTTGCCAGGGAAAGATGTCAAAGGTTGGGAGGCCGGCAACACCGGCCTTCCGTGACCATTGGGTAGGTTGTATTGTTCGATAGAGTGAAGTGTATTGGCGTCCCAATGGTGGTCAGTTTGGTGCCAAGAGTCTTGGAGGGGTGGCTTGGGGGAAGGGACGTGGGGGGGCGGGGGAGGTGCAGAGCCGGAGCCAGCGGCTGCTCCTGGCTGGGGACTGTGTTTGAACGATGATAGCTGTTGTGGGCAGTGGCGGAGGTGGTGGGGGCGGAAACTCTGGCTTGGATGGTGGATGAGTGGACCATAGGTGCCTGTGGGGTTGTATGAGTGGTGGCTTGTGGAAGGATGGGTAGCGGCGGCTTCTGTGGTGGCTAGCTGCTGATGTTGCTGCTGCTGGAGCAAATAGTGGTTCCTGTAGTACTGTTGCCATTGTGCGTCCATGGTGGAGTAGCGGCTGGAACTCGAGTGAAGACAATCGCAAGTAGTTGCTTGAGCAGGCTGAAAAGTTCGGTGCGCAGAGAAAGTAAAACATGGAAAGTGGCAACACAGTGCAGCCAGGGTGTGAAACATGCTCAGAGTAACTGTCAAGTTGGCTATCAGTAAGCCAAAGGAAGAAAACATGAAGGTTGAAATGCGTAGTAAAAGTGTAGCAGGTGAACATACAGCAAATGTCTGGCAGCACACGTTGCAATCGTTTTTTCGTGGTGCGTAGTGAAACAGGTGGAGGCCTCGTTGTGGATGGCTGCAATCCGAAGATTAGTGTAATGAAGCTGGTGGTTCGGTTAAGTTAGAAGAATGTGGTCGGTGGAGAACAAAACACAACACATCAACGGATCGAGAGGCTCTTGTGGCCAACATAAGGCTGAGGCGCGATCAGTGGTTGTCGGCGTGCCAGGGGTCATGTTCTGGGCGGTAGTCCTGTTGGTGAAGTGGCAGGGGGCGCCCCTGCGCATCATAGTAGCCCGATGGGCGTGCAGTCAGCAGGGTGGCAGATGCTGCGGTGTTCGTGGGTGGTGTCGTGTATTCTGGAGGCAGTGTTGTTGGGGGCGGCTGTTGTGGTTGGACTTGGTAGTAGGATGGCCATGCGTGTGGTGGTGGGGGCGAAGTGTGTGGAGGTGCTGACACAGGCGTTTGGTTGGTAGCTGCACCTTGGAAGATGGGCCATCCTGTTGCTGGAGGGACGGGTTGTAGGGGGTTGCTGGTAGAGGGACTCTGGTGGGCTGAGTGCAGTGCTGGTGGTGGATGTTTCGGGAGAGGTTGTACTGTGGGAAGGACTTGTGTGGTGGAGCAGGCGAGTGGGGGTGGTCGAACGTGGTGGGGTCTTGGAACGCCTGTGGCGCGGGGTGCCGCCAATAGGGGAAGGAAAATCCTGAGTGTGTTCGGGTTGTGCTGGAGTGGTCACTGCAGGGGTGGGGATAAGGTTGACGTACTGCCAGCGTTCATGGGGCTGCTTGTTTGCTGCGGCAGTAAGGGTGGGTGACGTGGTGCTGGGAGTGTTGGCCGTGGTGTTTGAAGAGGTTGATTGCCCCGTGTGTGGTGTGGCTGGGATACCCGCGAACGCGGGGTAGTGGACAATGGCATTGATGTCCGTCTGGACGTGTCGGTTGTGAGTGTCCGGTCGTGGGGTGGTCTGTTGGGATTGATGGAAGCTGGGGGGTGGTATGTGTGTGTCCAGGACTGAAACCAATGGCGAAGTTGTCTGTGTGGCAGCATGCTGAAAGACAGGGTTGCTGCTGGAAGTGGCCGGCAGTGGGTAGCGTCGGAGTGGTGTAATGTTGTGGGGTGGTGAAGCAGTCTGGGGGTTGATGCGTTGGTCAGGTAGGATGGGGGAGGTGTGTGTGGTTGATATGTGGTTTGTGGTTGCGTTGGTTGTGGCTGAGAAGGGTGTACAAGGGTCCATGTGGAGTGAGGACCATAAGGCATTGCAGCTGGTGGTGCTGAGTGAAAAGGTGTTGGAGTTGGAATGGACATAGGTTGTGGAGCTGGAAGTGTTGGGTGTTGTGGTACTGGAAATGCCGGATGTTGTGGATAAGGAAATGCTGGTGCTGTATGTGGATGTGTCAAATGTGTTGTCGGTTGTGTTGGTGCGGTGGGTAGTGGAGGTGGTGTTGCATGTGAGTATGGCCAGGGATACTGCATGGGGCGTCCAGTGAAAGGCTGTTGAAAAACTCGTGACAGCTGTGTGGCAAAATCTTCGCAATGGCGGCGGCGGCGGCGCGGCACAGCAGCGGAGACTGCAGCTGGTGTAATCGTTCAAAAATTGAAATGGTAATGCGTGTTTGGAAAGTGGGTATGTGTTGTTGTGGAAAAGTAGGAGCTGTCGTCATGTAGAATGTTAGTATGTGGTGTGGGAGTGTGTTCATGCAAATCGAATTAAACTGCTGAAAACTCAGGTCAGATTGCTTGAGTACATATGCATGATCATGCGGAAAAATGCAATCTCGGCAAAACTGGCAAATCCCGTGTTTAGGCCCGGCGGCCGTTGTGGCAGTTAATTCGGTGGAAGTGGAGGTGAATTCCAGTGAAATCCAGTGAGCGGTGGTAAGTTCCGTTAGTGATTTCCCAATGGAACGGCGCCTCCTTGCGGAGGATCACACTCAGCACCCGAGTGGGACGGCTGAGCGAGACACACTCTGACAATTGTATTCAGTTAACTCAGTTCCCAAGTCAAAAGGAATGAGAGAAACGCAAGGTGACAGGGTCAGCTCAACTGAATTGTTGAACAAATTGTTCACTTGTCTGCAGAAGCGCGGCTGAACAACGGCGGCTGAAAGCAGCTGTGGGAAACCTGTTTGAGGGGAGAGTATCGTGATCAACAACCATGGCACCAAAGCACAGCAAGGAAAAGTGGAGTAGTGTCATTGCGCAGGTACGTTTTCCTGATCATCCAGTGTGGAGCTTCGTTGGCAGAGGCCACAACTGGAGATCCCTCTGCCCCCTGCGTGTGAAACTGTGGTGGAGGTGGTGGTGAAGGTGAACCCTTGGCCCAGGGGTTGACACACACACACACACGGACACACACATGTACATACACCTCCCTGCCCCCCACTTTCCTTCTTGCGCTTTTGGTCGTTTGTTGGGCTTTCTCTCAGGCTTTTTAGGTTGTTCTTGAGGCTCGTTTCCCTACCCCAGTCAAGGGCTAAGTATTCACTTTTTTCTACTCCTACCTTTCTCTCTTGCCCTCTTAGCGCTGCTCTTTCTGTGTTTCTTTCTTTTGCTTCTAAGGCTTTTTAGGTACCCATTCAGGTCCTGCGCGCGAGCGCCGCAAAGCGGCACCGTGTGTGTGTGTGTGTCAACCTCTGTAACTAAAAGTTTTGAATGCAGGGGGCCAGCGGCCGACAAGCAAACGCTGGCCAACAAAGCTGTGCTTGCTCGGTGCATGCGGTCAGAGACGTCTGACCGTGTACCTGCAAAGAATCTGTTGCTCACGCCATGGTGTTTCATGATACTTCCCACAAACCTTCTCCCCACCGCCGCTTTTCAGCCGCCTTCAGCCGCTCGTGAGCTGCCGTTGCGATTTCTGCAGATGCGCATAAACCATTTGTTAAAACACCTACAAGTTCTTGGACTTTTCGCCTTGCGGTTCTCTCGCCCTTCCACTTGGGAATTGAATAACTGAAAACCAATGTCGGAGTGTGTCTCCCTCCATGTCCCTCTCAAAAAGGGTCAATTCATTCAATTTCAATCAATTTTCTACGGAACTGCAGAATAGCCACAATCATAGTGCCACACCTCATCGCGGTCTGCAAACACACACCTCCACGCGACCTCACCACCCAAAATTAAACTCGACAAACGCTGCAACCCAGCTGCAATATGCTCAGGCCTCACTTCACGCAAGCGCATGCGGTCCTCAGTCGGGTACAAACGCCTGGACATGGAGAGTGTGTAAAACGGTTCTTCGATTAACAAGACCGAAGAGTGGATGCCCGAAACCGTCATCACTCCTATGGAGTTCGCGGTCGTGGCAAGAGGTACCGGTGGCCACCAACGTCTTCTCGTTCACAAAATATAATTCCGAGGAAGCCATTGTGTTCGAGCGGCCATAGTCATGACCACAGTCAAGTCGTCTCTGGCCAGCTGCACATTCGTCTCCTAGTAGCAGCAACAAAAACAAAACAGTATCCACACTCATTTCACCACAAGGCAGGATATGTCCCTAGACAAGGGGATCCCTGCAAAGGGCACTTCCAACTGCAATATATTTGCCAGCAGCAAGGGAATGAATATCAAAGTCAGCAGTCATTTCTATTTGGGAGACAATGGGATAAGTTCAAGTAACTATACAATAGCCACTACATCTTAATCTTCTACTGTAATCCCAATCAAAGTCAATGGTTGCCCACTGAGGCCCAAACCATCTGCTTCTCGCCATTGTCCAGCAGCACATGGTGGACCCAAACCTGCGGACATGCCTTCCTTCCAAACCACAAAGTAAACTTCCAACTCCACCACTCAAACATGGGTTCTGGGGTGTTATGTTGCAGGGCTTCTGTTTTTAAGTTCGCCCGACAAAAAGCATCTATAGATCACCTCAAATGAAGAATTGTCAAGTCACATGTGGTTCCAGGCGGTGAGAATGCCTCCACTATTGTTTGATTTAGAAGTATGTATATATCACATATAGAGACACACTCAGAAGTCCCAGGGGTGGCTTTGGCCAGGGTCTCGCAATACCGTTGATTGGTCCCTTTTCTGATGTTTCAGTGGATGTCTGGTCACATTTCAACCAAACAAGCTAATCAAACAAACACCTGAAATGACAACTGCCTTTCCATGCGACAGGGTGTTCAGTCTTGAGAATCACAGCCTAGTCGCTCCACGCAAACATCACCGGCATGACCCTTGCGGACACATGGTTCGCTCTGCACGCCTTGGGGGAGAAGCCTTGGCCCATGAGCTGCACTTTGTCGATGGACAAGGGAATCCTCAAGCTCGGCAAGGCCTCGCAGCCGATTTGAAGGCGAGAATTGTGAGGCCCCCGGGCTGTAAGCGCTGAAAGGATCGACAATGTTCACTGCATGCACACTATTTGGAAGCACAATGCAAAACAACTACAGAACCAAACATTCATAAATCTCTCCTGTCTTGCCAAAAGAGGCACTACACTACCTCCCAGCTGGTGGTGTCCAAATGAGCCTCCAAGTTTTGGAAGGCACAGCTTGCTTGGAAGGATCCGTCAATGACCGCTGGACCTCAGACAACTGAGGACCCTGCAACCGGAACGGTGGTTGGCTTTTGTTGTTTCTGTTCTTACTTTGTCTGAAAGCATCCCCAAATGCCCCGTCTTCGAAAGTCCGTGCACCCCTTTCACCTTCGTACAAAGCAAATTGCGCTCGTTTCCTAGGTCCCTGACCTTACATTGTCTTGCAAAAACAATGTGTTAATACTAGAATGCATGGAACAACTAGTCTTGTACTTCTTTGGATTTAATGTTCCATGCTTCTGGATTCTGGATGTGCTTTCTTTTCGACATGTTACTCATTTACCAGGTCCCTGACCTTGTCTGGCAATAGAAAGCAGAAAGGCAGGAGGCTCGTCATTGGACTTTGTTATACTGGATAATGAGGCAAAGGACCAGTGGGTCTTTGGCAGGAACAGGCACTAGTGACTTTCTGATCTGGTGAGAGTAGCCTCATTACCACAGCCTGGCTGCCGAACATCCTTCAGCTGGCTAAAGCAAACCATCACCCCTTCCTCAGAAATAACAATAGGGTAGTCCTACAAACTCCAACCACACGGGAGGTGCAAACCAGGCAATGATTCTGTTTGTGGGGGTAAAAGCCCTTTGGTCAACAGTCCAAGGTTCCAAAAATGAAACCGGCGTTGGTGCCGTCCTCTTGCGCCGCCACCCAGGCAATAATCTCGTCCTGGAGGTGCTTCGGACAAAATATGGGGAAAAGGAAAAGGATGGGGACCAAAGAGCATAAGGAACATATGCAGCATAATACCAAACTGCACTTTTGGCATTGAATATGGATCTTAGGGGATTTGCCGTGTGATTCATGGTTAGGTGCGCAACCTGCAACATATGAGAACTACGTATTGCAAGTAGCCTTTTATGCATCGATTGTCTCGTTCCTGAACCAATACTGAAACAACCAATTAGATTCAGAATTGATTTGCAGAAATTATATGCTTTATGTCTCGGTGTTTTGTTGATTTGTCATCGATAATAACACTTGTGGTTTGGAGATGTTTCGGAGCGCAACCCGTCTGCAGGGCGCTCGGACGAACACATCAGAATGGAAGTAGAACAGCCCTTGCAAGAACTTTACATGACATGTTTGTCATCTTTTTGTTGGCCATCCATCCACTTCCCTGTGAGAAGTTTGGAGGGTAAGTCAACGTAGCCTCGCCAGTCACACAATCATGAAACTTGAAGTTCAACCTGTCCAGCACTGCAAAAACTAGCGTTCCAACGGTGGGTCGTTTTTCTTAGACTTAGACCTAATGATTGAAGATGCCAATCTGAGTGCTCCTGGATGGTTCAGTATGGATGAAATTTGCAAACACTGCGCAGCGCATGATAGTTTTCTTCGTGCTGGTTGTGTTATGTTGCGTTTATATAATTTTGTACTTCTATAATATACTTATTCTGGCATGCAATCCTACAAAACCTGCAGTCCCACGGAATTGGTTCAGAACGCCCAAAGTAATGAGACACCTTAATTTGCTGCACATATATCCAATGATTCTTGCCGAACGGCCTGAATCCCGAGTGACATATGATTCGTTGAATGAACTAGGATTGGCTAGGATCACTGGGATTTGAGAGCCATTTGATCTGCTTGGCAACTGCGAACGCCTCACAAACCATTTATTGGCACTATAAACCATGAAATCACACGATCAGTTCTCCCCGCAGCCCGGCACCCTTTGTTTCCTACAAACCCAACCACTTACAAAAACATGCAAGATACATACCTTCCAGAGTGGAACTTCAATTGCCTTTTTTTCAAGGAACACACACGTCCTCAGAGCGCTTGATGGTGCGCACAGTACGGAAACGAGGTTGGAGTGGGAGACCGATGTTGGCGAAAGGCACCTGGGCTCAAAAGTGAACGCCAAACGGTGGGGTGAGTTGATGAAGCTGCGAAACAGTCACATTGTATGGCTTTGAGTTAGGGGAACGGTTGGTTAGTCTGGTGGCAAGATGTGAGCAGAAGGTTGGCAAACCCTCAGAAATAGACGCACGCTCCAACACCGTCAAGAAACCTACCAAGAGGTACATGTGTCACCACCAATGTCGGATGGACGAGCCACATACATGCGTGCATCCTCCACTTCTTCAGGACACCGCCCTCGGATTTCTTCCAGCGGCAATTGTCTCAGCTCGGCCGCTGAAGATGTTGCCTGTCTTGGCACAAACGCACGAACCGTCATCACCAGACCGATGAAGGCGACGGACTTGCCTCTTGTCTGCATAAAGTTTTCTCATAGTTTTCTGGTATATGGGCACATGTACAACTTGTTGCAAAAAAAACCAGTCTGAGCACGTGATCTATTGTTTCTTTCTCGCTTTGCGCGTGGATCCCCAAGCTCACGCAGCCAGCATAATAAGTTTTGCCTTGTGCACTTCACTAAGTGGTGGCCCAACTACAACAAGTTCCATTGCAATCCATTGCAGTGGTGCAGCAGCTCCTCTGCGTCATGACCTGTACAAGGGGATGCCAGCTGGTCCCAAACAGCCAACAAAAAAATCCATCTGTTCAAGCAGGATTGCGCGCTGTGCAGCTAGCTAGAGAAGAATCGTAAGACTCAGGTCTCGTTCTTGCATTCCGGCCCAAACCTCCGATTTGTGTCATCTTCCTTGCCCTCTCTGGTTTAGACAACAAGTGTGTATATAAGACAACGATGTCGGCCTACTCCATTGAAGCCAACGGGCGAAGAAGCACAAAACTTTCCCAAGTCCAGAAAACATTCACACACAACCACATGGACATGGACACCTTGAAGAAGCACAGGCTTGGTCAATGGGAAATGGCTTGTGGCACCCTGCTTTACCCCAATTATCCCGGCAAGAGACCCCAAACAGTGCGTGTGAGGTCTGAAAGCGGAAAGTCTAGAGATCTAGACGCATTGGGGTCCAGAGCGGTGATGGTGGTGATGAAGTGAAAGTGGGTGTGAGTGAGTGTGGGTGAGAGGGAGTGTGAGTGTGAGTGAGAGTGGGAGAGTGAGTGTGAGTGCGGGAGAGTGAGTGTGAGTGAGGGCGAGTGTGAGTGTGAGTGTGAGTGAGAGTGAGAGTGAGTGTGAGTGAGCGTGAGTGAGAGTTAGTGAGTGTGGGTGAGAGTGAGAGTGTGTGTGCGAGTGAGAGTGGGAGAGTGAGTGAGTGAGTGCGAGTGTGAGTGAGAGTGAGTGTGGGTGTGAGTGAGTGAGAGTGACTGTGAGTATGGGTGAGACTGAAGGTGGGTGAGTGAG